CTTCATCACTAATCACTAACAGATAAAAGAAGGTACGTTTTGTGAATCCGAGTTTTAGTTCTAGGGACTTAATTACGTAAGCAGGATCAATAATTGTAAATATTTCACATAATTACCACCTCTCTATTTTGTGTTGAATGCATGTTTTTTTGGAATAGTATGTTTTCTTCCATTACGGGGAAGTAACTTAGCCCCCAGTCACCATCATGGAATAATCAAGAAACATGTGTGTTTATATTGTTTATGCTGGATCTGAAACTGATGTTGGGTTCCAAATTCCCTCCACAGATAAGACTATCACACAAGGCTTCTATAGTTTAATTGGAGTAGAATAAAAACACTTGTTGATGGGACTTATTGTATGATGTCATGGTTGTCCTATAGTTCTATTGTGCTTGAATTATGATTGGATTATCTTTTTTCATTGAAAACTTGTCAATGAATCCAATATTGCTGCTGTTCTGCTACTCTTTCTTTTGTGATACAGTCAACCTATCATATCCATGATTCTGCACCCATGGATTCAACCATTTGAATTATTCACTCTTTTATATAAAGGATTTGTTTTTACTATGCCATTTTATAGAAAAGGATTCGAGCATCCATGGGGATCCAGGAACCAAACCCCCAGTTGATATTGAAAGTCTGCTCTAAATGAAGGGGTGGTGGTGGTGATGATTAAGAAAATAGTACAATAAACACTAAGGGCGTCATCACAAAAGCTAGGCAAAGTGTCCCACTTCGCCTAGCTTTGCTGAGAAAAGAAAGGGAAGCAGGGCAAATCCTTTGCCCCACATGCAGCTCCCTCTTGTTGATGCTTTCCCCATCACACGGAAAGGACTCATGCTGGCTCTATTCCCCCGTGCTGTGGGGAAAGCCTCTGGGACGCTTTCACTCTGGTTGGGGGTGGGGTCTCCACTGGAAGTCATCTGATGTTGTGTGATGGCTTGCATGGGGCTCTGCCCAGAAGACAAAGTGAAAGCATCCTAGGATGCTTTTTTAGGTGAGTGTGATGAGGTAGATAATCTGTTTCAATTGCAGTGGATTGTGCAAAGTTGTAGTAGTCTTGAGGAAGTTGAATCAAACGTGGTATTGAATTTGAAACTTGCACAAGGATGAACATGGCAATTCTATAACTCATGGAAACTTTACACAAATAAAATTTTGACATGAATAAACTTTTAATTCTCTTTAAATATACTACTTCCAAGTTTCACAGTGTTTCTATCAAGTTTGATCTAAGGGTATTCTTTACTACAAACCCACATAGGGACTTGGCACTATTATTTCTTATGCAGGGGAGAGAGCTTCCCTGGTGCCACCTTTTCTTCATGGCAAAACCATGTTTTAGTGTTGTACATCAAACATGTTTTTTAAGTCAACGTGCTGTTTCACATCTCACCCCCTTTGCCATTACACTGAGCCTACTATTTATTAAAGACGTTTGTGCATTGCTTTCTTTAACAGTTTCCAAATATTATTTGGGTTGAATCCAAAATTGGCCTTCTGGCCATAGAAGGAATTCTCTGCTCATAGAAAATGTGTTTACCCTTAACAATAGCATGTAGTATGGAAACAGTAAAACTAAAGCCAGAGCTGTGGTCCTGGTTGTGCAATATATCTATGTGACTTCTTGCACATGCTGACGAATGAGATGTCTACCTCTCTTATTATACAGTATTATACTCTTTATACTTAAGTATTTGCAGAATTGTTCTAATTCTTTTTACTTGTGCTTTTTATTTCCCTATTCTATAATATACACTCAGAGCTTGGGAAAAATATTATTTTTCCAATATTGGCTTGGAAATTCTGGGAGATGTAGTCCCAAAAGTAAGTTTTCCTACCTCCAAGTATATCGGTTTCCTCGTCACTGTTTTCTATTCAGCTAAAATAGTTTTATTCTGAGAGAGTTCCTCTTCCCCAGATCTTATGGTCCTTCTTGAAAAATAAAAAAATACAGACATTAGTGTCTTAAATTAGCAGCCATTAAAAGGACAGCATTTGCATTTGTAGGCTTTGTAAATGCACAAACCTTCGAACGACTTTGTTGCTATGGAAATAAACTCTATAAAGCTCTTACAATAGTAGCAGGAATCTATTGTTTATGAGAGGCCAGGTCATTTTAAACACCACAGCCCTATTTTCCCTATTCATTACCAAGGTAACGGGGACTGGCACAAAAATCCTCAGACTTTTTTCAAGTCCGATAATAGTCTTACTTGGCAAAACCTCACAAACCTAAGCCTGGTGTAAACTGTCAAAATTGTAACCATCTTAGAAGAGAAGGATTTTTTTTTTGGATGATCTTGGAAACTGGTCATTTTTCCACCACTGTACGGTCTTGACTGTGCTGCTGTATTTTTTTTTCAAAGCCACAGGCAGTGAATACAGCCATTTGACAGAGTAAACTAATGGTTCAAGTGCAAACATGGGCCTCATCCTACAAGAACAGCATGGAGGCATCTTGGGAGATGGATGCACTGCATACTGGTGCTGTGTGTATCTTCAATAAGTAAACAATAACTTTCGAGGTTCCGCCCAAACACCTATAAAGGGTTTATACTCTAGTAAAAGGTGGCCCTTGAAGGCTTTTTGTGTGGCTGTTGAATCTCTGCAGACTCCATAGCTGCACTTCCTCAGGTTAATAAATAGAAAAGTTAACTGTCTCTACTGGAAACCTTCAGGATCACCTTGTGCTTATAGCCTTCCTTGCATTGTTCAACATTTTAAATACTCAATTTTTCATGATCAGAATTCCAGGCTTAGAAAATTGACCCCTGAACCTACTGCATTTGCATAACGCTTTCATGGACAGGGTTGGATCTAGATTTAGGTACAGTGGCACTAGTAGAGGCATACTTCCTTGTTCTTTCCTTCTGCTTTCAACAACTTTCAGGCCTCTGACAATTCTCCATACAGAGAGCAAAAGATCCCAGCTAAATTGGATGTAACAGTGGTATAGGTGAGAATGTTGGGTTTTTTTTTTTTGGGGGGGGGGGGATCCAAATCAAGCAGAGCTCCCTTCCATTCCATTCATAAAAGCTAAGTCCTCATTTTTGTTAGGAACTGAAATCAGCTTTGCCATAGCTGAATTTGTGGACCCTGTTCCACAACACACTTTTTTGTTTTGTTTTGGAAGCTTTGTTCAAAGTTCATTCCATTCCAAACTCTATTTGTTCTCTTATTCCTGTCTCATTGATGCATATAATGTGTCTTTCTTCCTGTTAAATATTTAATGGTTCCCCTCAGACCTCTGGAACACATCCACAGTTCTGAAATATATTTCTGAAGTAAAGGAAGACAAGGCCAAAAGAGTCTACATCAATCTCTTTGTTTTTTTTCCTATTAAAAATGAGAAATGGAAAACTGTTTCAAGAAAAGCATGCATCTTACTTGTAATCAGGGACAAAAGTGGTAGAAAAACACTACACTACACTACACTACACTACACACACACACATATAACAAACACACCCTTAGTTTACCTACAATCCTTAGTACTAAAAAGACAAACGGCATAGAAGACATTAGAAATCAAACCGGGACAGAATAAAGAAGGGGAAGTGAAGCCAGAAGTTTAGATGAAAGTTCAAAAAGCTGAGAAAGACCTATAATATATCTATCTATCTATCTATCTATCTATCTATCTATCTATCTATCTATCTATCTATCTATCTAACTAACTAACTATCTAATACATATATATATATATATATATATATATATATATATATATATATATATTAGATAGATAGATAATACAGGTCTTTCTCAGCTTTTTGAACTTTCATCTAAACTATATATATATATATATACACACACACACATTATATATATATATATATAGAGAGAGAGAGAGAGAGAGAGAGAGAAAGGAAGAAGGCAATTACAGGATGTTCACTTATTTTTTCATTCCATATATATATATAGAGGCCAGATATATTAGAATGGATCCTGACTAGGTTACTTATATTAAACATCCACTTAAAATAATACAAAAAGTTAGTAGCTAACTAAAGCATGGGTTTAAATGAGCACAAAGGGGTTCTGCAGTCTTATGAAGAAAGTAACGTGGGTTTTTTAAAATCTAGACTGATTCTGGCTCAGCTCCTAGGTATCACATGCTTCACATTAGGCATTTAAGAGAAAGGAAGAGGGCAATTACAGGATGTTCACTTTTTTTCCATTCTATATTTGACAACTAGCAGGTTCAGAATGCTTCCCACTTGGACTGCTAACAAGATTTTCCACCCTTTTACTGAAAAAATAGATACTTTTATCTCCACACTGTCCCTGTTTTAGTTTCTTGTGGTGATGGTGGAGAATACTGTTACTTTAAAATGAGGAGAAAGTGTAAGTCTTGAAGAGATTATTCCTAAAAAACAGCAAATCCCTCTCATGTCATTGACAGAAGAAAATTGATGTAAAATTGATAAAATATTTCGGGCCTAGTCACATGAAAGTGGGGGATTGCAGAGGGAACCATCTTCATTCCCTATCATCGAGGTCCTGTGCTTTTCCGTCTGCAGAGATGGTAGCCATTCCACACCCAACTCCTGGCAACACAGTCTTTCCTTTGTTTCCCTGCACTGCTGCAACCGAGTCCCACAGGCAACCACTGGAAGTGACCTTGTGACATGTGATGGCCTCCATAGGACTCCGTTTTGGCAGCACAGAGAAACGGAGAGAAAGTGGAGAAAAGACTGCATGGGTTGAAGTCCTGATAGCATTCATTCATAATCCAGAGGTAATGAACCTTCTCTCAATATCAGTTTAGCAGAAAATTGTAGTTAAATTCAGTGGCAGAGACCTGAAATAAATTTGCATGTAAAGGTTGCAATCATATTTAGAGTTAGATTACTTTAAAATCCTCTTGACTGCCAATGAGACTAACCATCTGATTATATGATTGAGGTAAAAATTTGATTTGATGTGTTTCAGTAAGCAAGGCATTGCGGTTTTTCTTTTAAAGTATTACTTTCTCTTTTTCTTTGCAGACTACAAAGCCTATGGAATCACCGTAGAAACAGACAACAAACTTGTTAAAGCAAGAGAATTTGAGGGTACAGTATGTGCATGAGCTTTTGTACATGCATAATAGTTCTGGGAAAAGAGGAAAGACTACTATACAGGTGGATTAATTTGATCAAGGAAGCCACAGCCCTGGGTTTACAAGGTCCGGGCAGGGCTATTTTGATGCTGCGAGATTTTAGAGGCTTCTCTTCCATAGGGGTGCCATAAGCCAAAGCCAATGTAATGGAAAATACCAACAATGATAGTCCTAGAAAGAGAAAAGTCATCAAGCAGTGCAGTGGTGTGTAGAGATTGAATGCCTTTGGTTGGTCAGCTATTTACACATCTGAACTGCTTGTATTATGCATGACCTAGCCAAACTTAAGCAGTTGTTATGCCCCATTGATTTTAATGGGAGAAACATAAACATATGCTTAACAGATGAAACCATTTTGAGACTGACTACTTCTTAACTTCAGGAAATATTTCTACAAATTACGTAGAAAACATCACTTTCCTGGGGTTGGGTGGAGACAATTTAGAAATATGATTTAGTTCTTCTTTTTCTTCCTCCCTTCTCCAAAGTTTGTTTTCTGTCCCCTACCTCCAGTCCTGTCCCTCTTCAAAATATTTTTTCTCCTTTGCTCTTGCAAGCTGTTAAACTTCTATCTCTTCCCGTTCCACTTTTTACATGGTTTACATTCACACTACATGGTGGAGGTGGCAACATTTTCCACCAGAAGCCCCCCCCCCCCATATTCAATTTAAACTTTAACCTTCCTGGGGTATTTATTTACTCTTTCTTTTGTTCTTAGGCAACATATAAATTGTCTTAGGCAACACGTTTGCTTTCTATGCTTTGCAACATTGGGAAAATGGGTCTTTAATTCAGGGTAGGCATCCACCAGCTAAAATGAATCCCGAGAAGGGTGGCTAAGAGAGCAGATGTTCAGAAAACAAAACTTTATGAGGTATGTTTTCTGGAACTGGCTGTGTTTAGCTTGGTGAGAAGAAGACAGAAAGGTGATACAATAGCTTTTTTTTTTTACACATCTGAAGCGCCATCACATGAGAAAGGTAGCAAGAGCATTTCTTTTTCCACTCCACAGAATTGAGAGCCGGTATGGTGTAATGACATTGGACAATAACTCTGTAGAGCAGGGTCTGAAGACCTACTCATCCATGGAAACCTACTGGGTGGCCTTAGGCAACTCACACTGTCTCAGCTTCAAAGAGAGGCAAAGGCAGACCCCTACTGACTCAATGTTGCCAAGAAAACCCTGTGATAAATTTATCTTAAGGTCACCGTTAATCAGAAATGACTTGATGGCACACAAAAAAACAGGGTAGTACATAAGCTAATGGATTCAAATAAGAAAAAACGATATTTGACCAAACATAAGAAGGATAATCCTGGTGGTAAAAACTATTTAATAGAGTAATGTATTATCTTGGAAAGTGATTGAGTCTTTTTTATCGGAGGCTTTTAAACCAGTTTGGATGGCCATTTGTGATGAATGTTGTAGCTGTATATGTCCTGCGTTGGTAGAGAGATGGGATAGAGGGCTCGTATGTTCTTTCTAACTCTGTTATTATTCCATTTTATGCCACGGTGTGCAGTAAAGAGCTTTTAGTAATCTATTACAGGCTTCATGTAATCCAATTTTATAATAGGAAACTTTTTAAAAACCAGCTATCACATTGTTTTTCTTTTTGATTTAATCTCTCTGAATTTTTATAGTATTTGTTAAATGAATTTATGCTCAACAGAATCCCCAATGTAAAATAAAATAGACTAAATATATTATTTAAAAGAAGATTAAAACCCCCATTTTAAAATACAGTTGTTGTTTTTTTTTTAAAAAAAAAAACAGGCCATATGGAATTAATACAGTTTTGGACATCCACCAGAAGCTCAGTGATAATAAAGCCAACTTGATTTCCCTTGGCAGCATGTTCTAGATTAGGGATGCAGCTATTGAGAAAGCTTAGAAATACCTCCAAATCTGGTCATAATTAGAATACTGTCAATGGGGGTGGGAATATCAGAAGGACTGATGGGTGGTTTCAGAGGATCACAAAAGTGGGATCCAGGGATTGCATGAAGCCCCTGGGTCACACTTTGCCTAACCTTGCAGGAAACAAATACTTCAAAAGGATAAGTCAGTCATGATCAATTTAAATTCCATTGATATAATGAGGTCAAATCTAAGCCTGACTAAATCTGCTTCCAACTGTATATGTTTAACTGTTATTCACACATTGGCAAGCATTTCCTCTCTCTCTCTCTTTCTTTCTCTCTCTCTCTTTCTTTCTTTTCATTTCTCTGTCTATGTGTATCCTAAGAATGGTTGTCTGGATTTTGTTTGTATATCTTTCCCTGTTGCATACTGAATTATAATTAAATATTATGCATACTGGGGTGTTGTGTGGTTTCTAGGCTATATGGCCGCCGTGTTCATGTATACTGTCATGCTTTCCCCCAGCATTTCTCTTTTTCCAGTTGATGCCAGGATAATAATGGGCATCATATGTTAATGTTTTTGGTGCTCATATTTCCACATTAGCAATTGCTTGGGTTCTTTGTATTTATTTGTTTTATAACACAATCAACTGAAGGGTAATTCACACTTTACTTTTTGTGCTCTTCATGTAATATAGAATGGGGAACCTTTCCTTCTCAATACCTTTTGGACCTCAATTCCCTTATTTTTGTCTGTGCTGAATGTGGTTGTTGCACAAGATAAAAGCAATGTTCAATTTTTCCCTCTGCAGGAGCATATTTAAATTGTAAGCACAATGCAAAAAAGCAAAGTGATACAAGGGTTGAATGGAAGAAAATTTCAGGAAAAGATGTTTCATTTGTATACTTTCAGGGTTCATTTATAGGTAAGAAATGTTTACACTAGAATTTCTGTATATTTATGTTGCTGATTGCTTGTACTTTCCATGTGAATTGTTCCAAGCAGAGATTGCATGAAGGAATCAAAGTACATAGATTTGCATGGGGTCATTTACTTCTTGTTGCTTTTTCATTTGAAAATATCTTGTCTTTGGATGTTTAGGAGTGGGAAGGCAGGACTTCTTTTTGCTGAATCCTTGCATGCATTGGGAAAGTAAATCAATATGTGACTTCAAAAAATTTCTTTCTCACTATCTCTCCATTTGTCTTTATTATTTTACAGGTAATTTCAAAGGTCGAGCTGAAATTAGGCATTCAAGCATTCAGATTAAAAATGTGACTAGAAAAGATTCTGGGAAATACCGTTGTGAAATAAGCACACCTTCAGAACATGGACAAGAAGCAGGAGAAACTGAAATCACTCTCTTAGTTTTGGGTAGGAAGTTAAACATTATTTGATATTTATGCTAGATTCAGTAGTATAGCTACACTTTTTAAAAGTGTCATGGCAGGGGGTTGGACTGGATGGCCCTTGGGGATCTCTTACAGCTCTAAGATTCTAGGATTCTTTATCAGGAGTAGGCAATACAGGGTCTAATTGATACACTTTTTCTCTCCCGTCCACCATCTCATCCTGACCAAAACCAACCCTTTTGGGATCCAACCGTTTCCCTGTCTTTCCTTCACTTTCTGCCTCCAAAAGTGAAGAGAAAGGGGAGGAAAGAGCAGGGGAGACCCCCCTCCCTCCTGGCCTGCCTACCCTGCTCTGGCTCACCATGTGGCCCCTAAGTTAGAAAATTTTCCCATGCCTGTGTTACATTAAGAACAGGTAGAAACTAATTTCACTGAACATTGCTTTGCATTAAGATTCATTGGGACTGTGACAATTCTGAATAATATATCTATTACATGTGACATACCACTCAGTTTATTTGCTTCTGCTAGAGCAATTAATGAACAGATATTCAGGTTTTGTCCTATGCATTTACCTTACATAGATATATTTTCTAGTTCCATCAGCTGTTCCTGTTTGTGAAGTGCCCATCTCAGCTATGAGTGGGACAGTAGTGGAACTACGCTGTAAAGAAAATGAAGGTGTTCCTGCTTCAAAGTACAGATGGTATAGGAACAGTTTCCCTCTGTCAGAGAGCCTCACGCTGGGAAATGTGAAAAAAGACAGATTGCCGTATACTATGAACACTACGTCTGGAACTCTGGTAAGATAGTATTTGTTCTTTAACATTTTGCATATGACTGTTCTTTGTCCATAAAAAGATTTGGAAAGAACTATGATAAGAAATTTTAAAATATTTTTTATTTTTTATTTTTATGTTATAGTGGTATAGAAAGAAAAGAGGGCAGTCAGTTCTCCAACCTGTGACCATCACCCCTCAATTTCCTTGTTCTAACTTAGGAGAAATGGGATATGAGATTTTCCTATAGGATAAAAACTGAGGGAGGACAGATGTGGGGGCTCAGCAGCCAGCTGGGGATTCTAATTCAGAGAATGAAAAAGATGATGGGATTTTTACTGAGTCTGTGTCTCCTCAGGTTGAAATGCAAGCCACAGATCACAGAGACAGGCCAGGGCCAGAAGAGATAGAGGATGTTTTTCCTAAGAATCAGTTGGCCAGACTTTCCAGCTTTCAGAGAATGAGGAGTTAACTCATGATATGAGACTAGGTCTCTGCTCAGAGATAACCAAAGAAAGGTTAATGAGGAGGTCAGAATGACTTTGTGAAAAGCAGTCTTTGCAATCCTTGAAGTCTAAGTGCAAAAAAGATTATCTCGTGTTTGTTGGGTCATGTTGTGTACTCATTTTCTTCTGGGGTGGAGGTAGAACAGGAGGCTGAAGATGTAGTAGTTGGGGATTTGGGGCCAAGTGTTGAGGAGGAAGAAGAGAGTGAAGAAAACATACTGCCAGTTCCTACCTTTCAGGAATGCCGAAGGGCGAAAGAAGAAAGTCAGCTAGAATTGCTGCAAGGATGCTGAGGAATCAGACCTTGCCCTAGGAACACCTGTGCTGGGAGCTGAGGGCTATAAATCATCAATAAAGCAATGGGTCAATGCTGGCAGCAACCGTTCTACTCAGTGCTTCTTTGCTCCGGTTTCCTTGCTTGCAGCTCCAGCAAGTGCCTCGTAAAGACCTTTTGCCAAATACTCTGATTTCATGTCTGATGTGACTTTTGCTTTCCTTTTGGAATTTTCCTTCTGTTCCTTTTGCTGCTGTTTGTTGGAGTATTATCATTTTGCTGAAGTAAAGCTTTTTTAGTTTCCTTAACCCTTGTTGTAAGACTGTTTCTGGGGCAAAACAGGACAGGTCAGGTTCTGTCACTTTGAGCTCTTCAGAGCAGATAACTTCATTAAACCATCCTGTTTATAACGATCGGATAAATCAGATCCCACTCGCTGCCACCAATTATAAAGAAATTATTCAAGTGATCAATCCCGCATCGCTGCCACCAATTATTATGATCGAATAAATCAGATCTCACTCGCTGCCACCAAATTATAAAGAAGCTAACAAAACAATCTCAATCGCTGGAAACCAAATTACAAAACTCTATTCAGATCACTAATCAATGCTGCCATCAATACTAAGAGCGACCATCAATTGTCAAGGGTTACCCAAATTTTAAAAGGCTTATTTGCTTTGAAAGTATGCTGCCACCATTAGTTTCTTCAAAAGTTGCTTTTGTGATCTTCAAACTTTGAGGCACACTTGAGTCAGGTTTTGATGAACAATAATCAACAAAGTTTATTATTTAGAATGGGTACAAATTAGGGCTGGGCGGTTTCGTTTCGTAATTTCGTAATTCGTTAAAAATTCATTTTTTTTTTATAACGAAGCGATTTTGAACCATTCAGGAGCATCTAAAAAACGAAACGAATTTTTCAATTCGTTTCGTAATTGCTTCGTATTTGTTTCGTATTCGTTTCGAAATTGTTTCGTTATTATTTCCGCATGTCTGGGGCAAGTTTTATAGCTGTTGTTTGTTTAATCAGTGAAAAAAAATTATAAATATCACACCAACAGTCAACAACAGAGGGAGAGGGAAGCTTCAAAAGTTCCCCCTGTCCCATATGGAGGTTTTTTAGCGTATTGCGCGGTCGCGTCCGCCATTAACGAATCGATTCGTATTCGTTTTGAAATCGTTTCGTATTTGTTTAGTAATTTACGAAATTTCGTAAATATCAAACTTTTTTGAAGAAAAAATTCGGAATTCTTTTAAATATCGAAACGCAAAAAACCCCAAAAAACGAATCGAGTTTAGAAACAAATTTTTCCATGGTTGCCCAGCCCTAGTACAAATGCTTCAATATCTTGGCTGTTACAGAAAGTTGTGTCTTAAAAGCGTGATGGTTACAAGAATGGTTCTATCTTTCTTACAAAGGAGTTTCTTCTCTCCCTCCAAAACAAAACAAGAATCCCAACAGGACTGAATCTGTCAGAAATTCTTCAGTAGCCCAGATAAACGTAATCCTAGTTCTATCCTGCTACTACCCAGCTATACTCCTAATAGCTGTCAGTTTGCTTTAGCTACCCTGCTGGCAAACTTCTGGCTAGGCCTTTGCCTTTTTCTTCTAACCCTTAACACCAAACTCCTAAACACCCTTTCTCTTCAAACCCCAAGTTCAATCTTCTCTCTATAACTTAAAATGCTCCTTTTTCCCTCTCAGCTTCTCCTAAACTTCGCCCCCTTTTTCTTCACCAATCCTGGCCATTCCCTGCTCTGAACTACTCTAAAATGGCCACTGAGGCTTCACCATGCCCACATCCTATCTGTATTAAGCTTTCAGGCTTCTCTAGGCCCTGCATCCTGGCAGCTAAAAGGTAATGGTTCTTTACACTGTTCATGACCAGCTCTCAAGTTTTGCCTATGTTTGTGAATGGATTTTGCCTTGCTCAAGTTCCCGTTTTCATGAATTCTTGGCTATGCTTTGATTCTTTGGATTTTCATGTACCTTGTTATATTGACCCTCACATATCCTACTCTTGGGTGTTCTGTCTTTTGATATCTTGGATTTTTGTGGACATCACCTGTTGGACTTTTGATCTTGGCATTTTGGACTATTGCTATTTTATAGCACCATTTCTATTGCCTTTTGGGAAATACTCCCCCCCCCCTTTTTTTTTTATTTGCCTTTTGTAAATAAACTAGCAATTGCAGGACTCTGATTGATGCTGGGGAAAAAGGTGTTCCTGACCTAATGTGCGATAACAGGATAGTACAAGAATAAAGTAAACATTAGCAAATCAGATATAGAAACATAGAATAAAGCTGAAGCCAGCCATCTGACATTCAAGCACACAATTTAAGCAGTCCCTACACATGGCCATCCAACCTCTATTTAAAATCCTCCAGAGAAGAAGACTCCACAATGCTCCAAGGCAGGATATTCCACTGTCAAAACAGCTCTAACCAGGCCCGTAGCCAGGATTTTGATTTGCGGGGGGGGGGGGGCGCTCAGGATCTATCCTAGCAAACCTTTTGTATCATTATCCCAAAACCCCCATGCATATGGGATATATTGAGCATGGTGATCAGATCATGATATGAATAAACATAACAGTTTAAATAATGTACCAGTAAGGCCTTCTTGCGAACCACCCTGAGAATTTGGGGGGGAGAATTTCAAGCCCTCCCTCCCCCCGGCTACGGGCCTGGCTCTAACCATCAAAAAGTTCTTCTAAAGTTTAGGTGGAATCTCTTTTCCTACAATTTGAACATATTGCTCTGTGGCAGAAAAAAGCTGCTCCCCCCCCCCCAATCCTTTCAAATATTTGAAAATGACCCTTGACTTACCTACAGGTGACATCAAAATACATAATTGTGCCCCCAAAACTTATACATGAATAGAAATGGCATTTTGCATTGCTATTACTTAAGTGTAATTCTTTCGGCAGTTTGTTTTCACATAGCATTGATGTCGATTTTTTATGTAGGAAGAGTTTATATGATTCTGAAAACTATCACTTTGATGAGAGCCAAAATTATGTGCGGAAGAACTGAGAAAGTCAAAATGGCTGGAGATGTCTTCACTGAAGCGAAGCTATTTTTATATTCCTAGTTATGAAAGAGAAATGTTTCAAAAGGACATATATGCCCATGTTTACCAAATAGATGTACAGTATACATTTTCTTCACTGTACAATACATCACACGTCTTACTTCCTGCAGTACCTCAAATTTTTAAGGCTTTTTTAAACAACAAATTAAATCTAATGATTATATTATATTTTAGATAACATTTAAGGGATCAACTATTGTGTATTCTTGGAAATTTTTGTATTCTAAATGGGCGTCATTATTTTAGCAGTATGTCAGTTTTGATTCTCTTGGAATATTTAATGAGTAGTGTGTCATGCTTCTTTTTTAACCAGCTCTTCAACCACATTTCAAAAAATGACACTGGAGAATATTACTGTGAAGCTCACAATGAAATTGGACAGCCCCAGAAGTGTTCTGTAAAGCGAATGCAAGTTGGTAAATGTCAAATACCAATATTTTTTCAGATTAACGTATTTTCCATGCAAGACAAAAAAAAAAAGATTTAGTTTTGTCTTCCAGAATAAATATAACTATGTGAGATGATAAACTCCTATTGAAATGCCTAAAAAGATAATGGCTGAAGCAAAAATTCAGTGAACAATTTCAGAACCCTCCTCCCCTTTAATAAACTATAGCATGGACTAATCCATATTTATATATAACGTTTCCTATTCAGTAGTTAGTTATTACTGTCTTTCTGTTTCAGTAACATGACTATATATTTAATAATACATATATGTCTGGACTCAAGGTGCATATTTCAGCATCTTGTCCAAATACTGGCATAGCTACCTAAAGAACAAGTTCTGGGCACTCAATAATTGAGAGGGCCAAAATGTGAGGAGATTTTTTGCCTTTGGGTGAATCTGTTTTTACACTCTCAGAGGAGAGGATATAATAGTCATGTTTCTAGTGAAGGCTAACCACTTTGTGGAAATATAACTCCAGTTACCAATGTTCACTATTTTAATGTTTCATACCTTAAATCCATGTATTAATTTCAGCCTTTCAGAGTATCTAAAGAAACTTGTTCTACATCAAAATGCCCAATAATGGATATCTTTGTCAGAGACTTTTATCGTGGGAAGAGCTTTAAAAGGTTATTTAGTGTACAAATACAAAGAACATAAACCATCCAGGCAGCATGTCCCAAATAGATTGCTGTGAGTTTTCCGGGCTGGATGGCCATGTTTCAGAAGCATTCTCTCCTGGCGTTTTGCCCACATCTATGGCAGGCATCCTCAGAGGTTGAGGGGTCTTGGAATCCCAACAAAGGATTCCCCTAAGCAGCAACCAGCTAGCCTTGAAACTGTAGACCATTAAATGATAATCAAGGTTGCAAATTGCAGCATTCACACCTGTCTCAAGCAGACAAGAGTTCTTTCCCGCACCCTGAACATTCTACAGATATATAAACCTCACTTACTTAGTTTCCAACAGACCCCTCAAACTCTGAGGATGCTGCCATATATGTGGGCGAAACGTCAGGTGAGAATGTTTCTGGAACATGGCCACACAGCCCGGAAAACTCACAGTAACCGATTGATTCCAGCCATGAAAGCCTTCGTCAACACATGTCCCAAATACTTTAAAGCTCTGAATAATGCAATAACAGAATCAAATTTACAAGTTCCTAACATGTCCTGTCCAGATATAAACTTTTTTTCTGTCTGTCCTGTACATAATAGGCTGAAATAATGTGTTCACAGATTAAGAGGTTATTGCAACATTTTTGGGTAGACCAGAAAGCATCCTCCGGGTATTTTGGGACTGTAACTTCTAGCATTTATTACTATTGGTTATGCTTGTTAGGGTTTAAGGAAAATATAATCCAAAATTATGCCTATCCCAGTTGTACACTATTTGTAATCTGTAAAATATTTTGTAATATTAGCAACAAACTTGCAAAATAGATCCTTACTATTCTCTGTGATTGTCTCACTGAAAAGGTGTGTGGTTACTTAGATAAAAAGGTTCACTAAAATGGAATTCAGTTTTCATCTTCTCTATATAATAATATGAATAAGAATTTACTCTAACAACCATTTTGAGAATGACTCTATTAATGATGCTTGTTTTCTGCTAACGTGCCCAATTTGAAATAATTACATGCACCGCTGCACATGCATCAATACTATATTTGTTGTATTTTGATTTTCAGATGACCTTAATGTAAGTGGCATCATTGCTGCTGTGGTCATTGTGGCTCTCATAATAGCTTCCTGTGGTCTTGGTGTATATTATGCACAAAAGAAGGGTTATTTTTCAAGTAAGTACATCTGTTTCTACAATTAATCCAAAGATTGCCATATGTCTATTCTCTTGTGAAGGATGAGCAGTGCCAGCAGAATAACAGACATTTGCAGAGCAGAAGGTAGTGGACAAAAGCAAAGATGAAAGGAGTTTTGATTAGCATAAGGTTGCTAATAAACAATTCTAGCCTGCATTAAGAATTACTGGTCGTCCCATCTGGCTTGGAAATAGTATGATCAGTGTGACCAATCATAATATGGAATAAAGAAGATCTAGTAGCTATAATTTCGGAATGGTATCTCAGTTTTAACAAAGAGTTAACTAACTTATTGAGACAGCAATATTTTAACTATAATAACTATAGATTACAGAATTTTGTGTCTTTGGGAAGCAGCATTTTTCAGGAATCTTGATCAAAATTTGTGAGATAGCTCCCTCTGCTGGATCATAATTAATGGATCAGTTACAAAGAGCTTTCCTTTTCTACATTTCTGTGGATGTTAAATGTTTGTGATAACTCAAGCAAACATGCTAGAAAATATTGTTTTTCCTGGAGATGTAGAATCATAGAGTTGGAAGAGACCTTGTGGGCTATCCAGTCCAATCCCCTGCCAAGAAGCAGGAAAATCGCATTCAAAGCACCCTTGACAGATGGCCATCCAGTCTCTGTTTAACAAGCCTCTAAAGAAGGAGCCTCCACCACACTTCGGGACAGAGAGTTGCACTGCTGAACAGCTCTCACCACTAGGAAGTTGGCCTTGATTGCTTCATGTCAGGAATTCCCCTGTTGTTTGAGTGTTTCTCTTTATTTATTGTCCTGATTTTAGTTTTTTTAAAAATACTGGTAGCCAGATTTTGTTCATTTTAATGATTTTTCCTTTCTGTTGAAATTGTCCATATGATTGTGGATTTCAGTGACTTCTCTGTGTAGTCTGACATAGTGGTTGTTAGAGTTATCTGGCATTTCTGAACAAAATCTGGCTACCAGTATTTTAAAAAACTCTAAAATCAGGACAGTAAATAAAGAACAACACTGTAAAACCAGGGGAATTTCACACATAAAACTATCAGGACCAGCTAGTCACCTCCCAACAAAGGGTTCCCCCAGGCAGGAATCAGCCAGGCCTTGAAGATGCAAGAACAATAAATAGAATCATAGAATCATAGAATCAAAGAGTTGGAAGAGACCTCATGGGCCATCCAGTCCAACTTCCTGCCAAGAAGCAGGAATATTGCATTCAAATCCAGATCCAGATGGCCATCCAGCCTCTATTTAAAAGCTTCCAAAGAAGGAGCCTCCACCACACTCCGGGGCAGAGAGTTCCACTGCTGAACCGTTCTCACAGCCAGGAAGTTCTTCCTCATGTTCAGATGGAATCTCCTTTCTTGTAGTTTGAAGCCATTTCCGCATCCTAGTCTCCAGGGAAGCAGAAAACAAATTTGCTCCCTCCTCCCTATGACTTCCTCTCACGTATTTATACATGGCCATCATGTCTCCTCTCAGCCGTCTCTTCTTCAGGCTAAACATGCCCAGCTCTTTAAGCTGCTCCTCATAGAGCTTATTGTCCAGACATTTGATCATTTTAGTCACCCTCCTCTGGACATATTCCAGCATCAACATCTCCCTTAAATTGCAGTGCCCAGAATTGAACACAGTATAGCTGAATATTGGGGTAGTATGAGTTCCGTGGATATAGAAACTAGACTCCTATTTATGCAGGCCAAAATCCCATTGCCTTTTTTTAGCTGCCGCATCACATTGTTAGGTCATGTTTACCTTGTCAACAAAGACTCCGTGATCTTTTTCACACATACTGCTGTTTAGCCAGGCATAGCACTATCAAAGTATTATTACAAAGTAGTTATTTTGCTACAAAGGCAATTGTTCTGCCATAATGCTTTCAGTTTTTAACAATTTGATCAGTATTAAGCATAAAAGATGCAAAGTATTCAAAGATTTTGATATGTTTTATTTTTTGCCAGTAGCTGTTCCAATTATTACTGTTCTATTTTGAACAAGCTGCAGTCAGATAGAATTTGTTTTCATAAGATAACATGAATATTTCTCTTGTTATTTCTCTAGAAAAAAATTCTTCAAGGTAAGCATGGCTATTTCCTTTTCCCAGTTGCCGCTTTTGAACAGTTGAAATGTAAAGTTACACTCTTTTTTCCTTAAGAAAAAAAAATATAGGGGAAGAATTGTTTGCACTAATCATAGTGTTTCAGTTCATACACCATCATTTATAAATGTGGGGGTAGCTGGCAAAATAAGGCTCCGATCAGTCTAGTTAATACATTTGCTATAGATGTTTAGAAGCAGTAATATAATTAAAGGGAAACTTCCACGCTGTGGCCTTAATCCAACTGCTAGTTCCAAATACTGAATCCATAGACTCTTGGATCAACTGATGAATGGTAAATAAGTACTTAGAATGGCTCTTTAACCAGTTGTTTTCTCACTGAAAATGAGAAGAGCATACTTTCTCCTTCTGTTCTTCAGAGTTTGTGGTTATTGGTCAAAAATTCTGGCACATGAGAAGATAGTTCAAAAACTGTTTTTGCCCTATGGTTGGAAAAATAAAGTGTTTTATATATTTGAAAGTCCTGTATGTTCACTTATGATTAATAATAAATACTAGTTTAATATCATAACGTTAAAAAGCCTTTGATAATTATTGAAGGTTTGTTGAATGTTATAACTGGATACCAGCAAATACGTAGATATATCTTCTCATAATATATATGTAGTATGTATTCCAAATCACCCAATCAAATCTCGTTGTTTCCCCCTATTTGAGCCCAATGTACTTTAATTTCAACAACTTGAAGCTACACAACAAAAAAGGGTTCGATGGAAGACAGGCAAATCATTCTATACATGTAAGATTTATCAATAGTTGTCTGTCTGCCTTTATACTTTCCCACTTTTGTTTCACTAGCAGGAACAGCTCTAAATACAAACCTGGAGAAAATGAAAAGGTGGGTATTAAATATCCATTCAGTATCAGCAACATTAACTTGAACTTCTTTCGTAAATGCCAGCCTTGCATGTTATCATGCTAAATTTATTGTGTACAGGGTTTTTTTAAATTGTGTCAGGAGCGACTTGAGAAACTGCAAGTCGCTTCTGGTATGAGAGAATTGGCCGTCTGCAAGGACGTTGCCCAGGGGACGTCCGGATGATTTGATGTTTTTTTCATCCTTGTGGGAGGCTTCTCTCATGTCCCCGCATGAGGAGCTGGAGCTGATAGAGGGAGCTCATCCGCCTCTCCCTGGATTCGAACCTGCGACCTGCGACCTTCAGTCCTGCTGGCACAGGGGTTTAACCCACTGTGCCACCGGGGACTCCTATTATGTACAGTAAGACCCTCATATTCATGGGATGTGTGGGCTTGTCATGGAAATGTGAAACTAGAGATAGTAACTGGAGATGTATACCATACAATTGCACCGGAGGACCTAGAATATGCCTAGAGAGTCTAAGTACTGTTATAATCTTTTTAAAATGGTTTGAACCTTTTTAATTCTATTGTATGTTTTATTTTTTCTATCATTCTATGTCTATTTGTTATGTATGTTGTAATTCAGCACTGAATTTTTGCCCATTTTTGTGAGCTGCTCTGAGTTCTCTTTGGGGTGAGAAGAGCAGGGTAAAAATGGAGTGAGTAAATAAATAAATAAATAGCGAGAACACCTCTTTGGCATTTCTAGGTCCTCCGGTGTGACTCTATGGGTCACCTTTCAAAAGTGTACCAGGGAATTGTGCTGCAGGACCTATAAAATAACTCATTTGAACATTAGTGAAATGGCAGGTATTGGTCCCATGAATACGGGAGCCGTACTGTACAGAGCAACTAGAAGGTGAGCTACCTAGTCAACCAAATCATATAGTACATCTTTGCTGCTTCAGATCTGTGGGGAGGAGAGGGAGCAATGTGAATATATTCCCATATATACACAAATCCCTAACATGTCATGAACAAAGATAGGCTAGTACTTTATTTGGTATCTTTGTAAAGAAACAGTTTTAAACAATTCCATAAAACCTAAAATGAAATTCTAGGGTATAGAAGAAATGCAGTAATTGCTCCATATTTGCAGGTTTAATTAAAAAGCTATCTCAGGGAATCTCTAGGTCCTCCACTGTGACTCTGTGGTCAATTTCTACTGAAAACTGACCATAGAATTATGAGGGAGGCCATAGAGATTCCTAGAAAGGATATTTCTCTAGATATTTTATGGTTGACTTTAGGTGGACATTTACCATAGTCACACTGGAGAATCTAGGTTCATAGAAGGATATTCTCTTGGGTAAAAATATTTTATTCATTTTTTTTCACTTTCACTGGGATTCTATACCTCTATCTCCTATAAATGTGGAAGGCTGGCTGCACATTTAATGAATTCTGATGTTTCTCTGCTATTAGCTCTTCGATACATTATATCTGTGGAACAGAATTCATGCTGCACTGTAGTAGTGTCATTATTTAGTGAATGTGGAAGTCAGCTATATAGAAGTCAAGGAGCAATTCATGTGTTTTCATGGTCTTGCCACCTTACTAATGACATCTTTTGCTTATTACATTGAGAAAAATGTATGTATCTATAAGGACTCCACCAAGTAAGGTACAGAGAGAACATAGCCACAACAATCATATTCATATTGGGTAGCTGTGAGTTGTGTCACCACAGCTGTAAGGTTTCTGCCACTTACTACTATTCCTAAATTACCAATACTTTTTGTTGTATGAGACATGGGTCGGTCCCCCTCACAGCAAAATAACATCTCTTTAGCATTACAATTCTGGTTATTGGTTGTTCACTGACATTTTAAACAATAAATATTAAAAATGTCTGAATTCTAAGTTATTCCCTTTTCCGTTTCATCTTCCCCAATTAGGATTTCAAGCACACAAAATCCTTCGTTATTTGAAAGAAATCCAATTATCTGGCGATCACCAAATGTTCAGCTGCTGCACAGAACATCTCAACTCCATTCTGTAAATGAGAAGAGTGGTGAATACAGAAAGCCATTGGCAATTATGACGCTACTGTTAAGTGGACAGAAGATTGGCGAAAGTTGTTAGTTTATTTGACAGTGCTTTTTTCACTGGAAGATATGTGCACAAACATATAAAAGGCTTTCTGCTGGACAATGTACCCACAAAAGTGTTAAACTAGGAAAAATAAATAATGAAATGTAGTTCTGGTCGCTACATTTCGACCAATTACTAAGGCATCAACAAAAGTGTAAAAAAGTGCTGGATGAATTTTTTTCCTATAACACAAGTATACAGACAAAAGTAAGCAGTTTGTTTTTGCCACAAGATGTAGCAATATCCACTAATTCATCATGCTGCTGTGAATGGAAATTGAAGAAATCCATGGAGGATAACACTGATAGTCACTGGTTTAAAAGCAGAGCATTTTTAGTGTTGCTGGAAAACAGTGGCAGGCAGTTGACCACTGAGAAACAGGATACTAGTCTATACAGACTTACTGTTTGACCTGCTAAAATTCGTGTTTTCAAGAAGCCAGCTGTCTGGGTGGCAAGCACATCTCTGACCATCTAATCCCATCAGCTATCTGTTATTCTCCCAGATCTGATTAACCTTGGACACTGTTAGTGCAGGTTTTTTTTCATTCCCCTACTGAAGGGGAAACACCAAATCTGTTCATGCCATTAGTAAAGGAGGCTAATGATGCCAACATACCTTTTCCGGTAAGGAACTGAAGTGCAGTAAGCCATCTATTTAATAGGAGTAACTCTGCAAATCACCATTGGCTCAACACCTGAATTTGGTCTTCAGGGTGTTTGCATTTGGGAGAAGGGGTTTGTTCTTTTCCCACAACAGTCAGAACCATACAGGCTGACAAACATGAGTGGATGCCTGTCCTTAATGAGATAGCTAAGTAGATTTAATTTTTTTAATATTCTGGGGCATTATGGATATTCTGTTTGCAAGATGGGTTAGAAAAGCATTACTTACAGCATTTTTTCCCCTGTAAGTGCCTTTACCCCTTCATACCTTATAATCACTAACAGAATTACAGAGTTAAGTTTTCTGAAGTGTAGTGTTTTTTATTACTTCATTTTTTTCACTCTTGTCAACACCACTGAGTGGTTTTAAAAAGAACAAGCTCAAAGATATTATAAATAAACTATTTTTTGTGTTTGGTGATTGCAATGATGATGCCTTAAGACAATTCCATTAATGTTATTCATTGTTCATTTGAAACAGCAAAATCAGATGTAGCTCATCTGGTTCCCTCCACATATTATGTCTCCATACTGTAAGAGTGCCAGGCAACAACAGATCATTGGGATATAGAGGAACTTATATGGGGGGGGGGGGGTGGTTAACTGTTTGAATAATTCCGTTTTAACAGATACTTCTTAATTTTTTTTTATTTCCCATCCATAACAGTGCTAAACCAACTCTCTCTGCCATAATCAAATAAGCAGTGAAATTTAATTACTTGCCTAATAGGAAAACAGGAACCCTTTCGGTTTATCTCAGACTGAAATATTTATCTCACTATCCCTTGTAGAAGTTGTTGCACACGAGTGCTTTATGGGCATCACTAAATTAAGAAATTCATAGACTGAACACGGAACTATTTATTGATGCCACAAAGACAGGCCTAATTCAACAAATCCAATCAGACACTGTTGCTTGATGTGCACACACGACCACACCATCACTTCTGTTCCTCTTCAAACTTAGGTTCTGCCAAAAAGGGAAAATGAAGTGTCAGTTTGGGGGAAAAAATCCTACAGGAAGAGTTCTGCAACACGGTACTAGCAAATTACCAGAAACTAAATGCGGAATGTTTTTCCTGAGAGCAAATATCTGCAGCTTTAGCTTGGCAAGTATACAGCAATCTTTCCAAATGTTCAAAGGATCAGGGTCAGCAGCAAGCACTACTACTGAACAATATTATAATGAATGAATCCGTATGAGTTGTGCAGGATCAATGCCTTGTTGGATTGCTTTTGACACAAGTTATTACCACATTTAAAAACATGGAAACAGTAAGATGGAAAGACCAACCAAAAATAGTGCAAATGTTAGGTAACTGAGATAAAAAAAATACTTGAGATTAATGATCAGAACTGTAGTATGGACTCTAATCTATCTCTGCCTGTAAACTGCATATAGGTTTGTACACCTTGTTATGCTGCATCAGATATAACATTTTAAAATAACATATAAAATTTGTCATCAATCGTTTTATACATTTTGTTTGTTACAGCAGATAGAACATTTAGTGCAATTTACCACTTAGTTATTTACTTTATTCCCAGAAATCTTGAAACAAGTCTTGAATGCAGCACGCACACACACACACTGAAGTATGTGCAAAACTGAACCTAATTCTAACTGAACCTAAACTGAACTGAACCTTACAAATTGGTTGTTCTGCCCACAACCTGTTTATGAGTGGATGGTCCAATTGCTGATCCATTTCTACACATTCACATATTAACACAGGATACTTCCAGAAGCTTACCCTCAAACTTGAAGTCCGGAAATTTAGTCAGGTCTCCACCACCATATAACCTCTGGAGTTTCACAATTTGTTCATTCATTTCTTTCTCATAGACTGGGCCAGCATCAACAGGGCCACCAGCTTTCCTACAAATTTAACAATTAAACCTTTACTTAATAATGACTTTAGAAGGTTACAGAAACCTAAGCAAGTGCTTGTTTTAAAATGGTAGTAAACTGTGTTCATGTGTTAGCTTGAGAGGTTAAAATCCAACTCTTTGTGACTACAGGGAAAGACCTTCTGAATGTCACCTCACTCCTTAGGTTTTTGTTGTAGGTTTTTCGCGTTGTACGGCCATGTTCTAGAAGCCTTCTCTACTGAAGTTTCGCCTACATCTGTGGCAAGCATACTCAAGAGGTTGTGAAGTTTATTTTTTTCTTTATTTTTAGACCACCCTATCTCCCCCGGGAGGACTCAGGGCAAATATTCAATGCCTGGTATATACCAAAACATTACAGCAATAAATAATATGGAATAATAAGAGCATTGCACTAATCAAATGAAATTAAATATCAAAATAAAAACACAGAACAATTAATCACTAAACAAGTACATTTAAAAGCATGGTCAACAATAAAACATCTAACAGTCAGCATAGTTAAAAATGAGGTAAGCATTTGGCTGTTAGTTGTTCTTAACTTACATAATGGCCATAAAGTACAGATAGGATAGCCTGATGTCTTATCTGTACAACTACTCTGTTCACAGAAAAAAATCTGACAATATCACAACTACAATTAAGAAATTGTAACTCTGGCCAACACATATGTTGGTGCTTCAAATCTTAGACCTATTTCTGGGTATATTTGACCTGATGATTCCAAAAATGGCACTTTCCCCCCTCTTAACTCTGGTTTTTGAAACACAGAAAATATGCCATTTAGTGGTTTTCATCTGTTCACCCATAATAAATTGTGATAACCATATCTAAGACACTAGAGTTAATGCAGCCTATCCAATGCAATTTTCTGAACCTGCACCTCAAAGTACCTCAGGAACAAGTCTAAAAAGCAAGACAACAAGAATAACATTTTTTTTTGTTTCCTGGGCTGTGTAATGGGAGAGATCTTTCACAATGGTGGGTGTGGCGAAGGAGAGAGGTTGAGGAACGAAATTCTTCAAATGCTGTATTTAAAGAAAGAGCTAAATAAATTAGTTTTTTCTTCTTTCTATTAACCACTAAAGGAAGTGGTCAATTGTTGGAAGGCTTAGAAAAAATGGACAAGAGTTCTGTTCCACTGCAATATAGCACATGATTTGTTGGTTGTGAACATACAAAACCTATAGCACATTGTATGACAGAAGAAATACGGCTGACTACTCAAGAATAGTATATATCAGACACTTTAGGTTTGTTTGTTTTTTGGTTTTTTTTGCATATATATATATATATATATATATATATATATATATATCCCCCCTTAGGTTTGTTTGTTTTTTGGTTTTTTTTGCGCGCACACACACACACACACATATATATATATATCTCCTACCATTAACACTAACTTCCTCTCATATATTATTCTAAACAATTCCAAATAAAAAAATATTCTGTAGCTACAGGAAGTTTGTTTGTGAATGCTTCAATTATTATCTACACGCAGAATTAGGGCAACAAGTTAACACCCTTTTAGTTTTGGAAATTAAAGCTTCAGCTCAATTCAATCTACAGTTATGACATACAACTTGATGTTTGTAGGTCTTCCATAAGAGATTCAGAATCAGATTCACTACTGAGGTGTTCATTTACTTACTGGCTTTTTGTGTTATAGTCTCTGATCTTGTCCACAAAGAGTTTCTGTACAGGATCAAGTTCCTTTGCCTTGTTAAACACAATGGCAGAAAAGCCAATATTTCTACGTAAGTGGATTGAGAGTGTTGAATGAAAAATAGAAGAGAACCTAAACAGCTGTTGAAGAATCATGATGAATTTGTAGATGTTTCAACTGTAAAAATAAGATAAAATCAAGTTATACATCAGCTGCTTCACACCTACTCCTATTTCCAGGATTCCACCCCCTCCCCCTGCTCTTGCAACCCTCTCAATATGGTTTTTGAAGATATTGTTAAATACTTTAAGATACTAAGTATTGTGGATATTCTAGTCCTGTTATATAAAGTGTGGTAGTATAATGGTGTCTCTTATATAGAATGGAAAACGCAAGCATAACTTTTTTGATTTTTTAAAAAATACTTCAAGCCATGGATGGCTAAATCTGTGGATATGGGGGGGGGGGGGTCAACTGTGCAATTTGTTTCTTCTCTAATTTCAAGTAGGAAGTAGGTGCCAAGGGCTACAGGGTAGACAAGGCCCATTCTAAAGGCGAAATGTCATCACTGCCTTAGAACCTGAAGCTGGAGGCTCTTCTTCATCTTCCTTCTTCTTGCCTATTTAGCTGACATCCCTTCAAAATGGGAGCAGCAAATAGAACAAAAAGGAGGAACATCCCTAGTTTACCTTACCATTCCCCCCGCTTCCTTTTTAGATCCAAAAAGTAAAGTAAAGTGAACACACAAATGACCACAGAAAAGAAAAGGAAGACATGGCAGCAGAAGGGAAAAGGCCATGGAAGAGGGAAGGCATTACAGAAGCATTCTAATATCCTACTGTTTAATACTGCACTAATGTGTTTATCTATTCCATAGCTTTTTTTCTACTGCTCACTGACTAAAATTGTTGGAGATAGCAACCTTCTCAAGCCTTCTCTATTTATTGTTTTGTCTGTTTATAATGTGTTGTTTTATTTCCTGAAGTGTATGTTATTTGGTTTGCAGTTTCCTTAGCTCTATATACTTGAGGCAGTGGGAGGGGCTACATTTAGAATGCATTTTAAACATGATGACAGTTGAGGAATGACTGTTGAGCCTTGAGTCAGCTTGAATATAGAAGTCTGTTTTTCAGTCATATGTCAGTGTAGGCAGTTAGAAAACTGTTGAGGCTTGAGTTCCTTTGAAAGTAGACTGTTATGAAAGAGAACTGTACAGAACAATACGGTTTTTGAAGATATTGTTAAATACTTTAAGATAAAGATTCAAACTGATATATTTTAAAGTTTAACTTGACAAGAAATGTGCCTGTATATTTAAATACATTAAGTTATGATTAAAACAAAACAAGTTATTTTAAAAGTGTACTTGAATCTTTGTCTGTTGAGAGCATCGACTAGAGACAAGATATTTACGAGCACAGTGATCATCCATTACTTAATAAACTAAAAGAATACCCTCATAACTCTGCTACCCATCAAGTTATGATCCTAACAGGTCATAATCCAAAATCCCCAATAGGTTGTGATCCTAACAGGTCATCATCCTTATCCCATTAGAAATAAATAATGCATACACACACACAGAGATATATCTATATGTTGGAGGAAAGACTGCAACCAAATAGAATTCCTGCCTGAAGAAATTTATTAGATTTGATGTGCTCTCTCTCCTTCTGCATTCAACTGGAAGCTGTTATTAATCTTTAAACAGATGGGGTGGGGAATGGCAAGAAGAACAAAGATGATTAAGAAACAGAAAATCCAAAGGATTATTATGATAAACACGAAGACTTTCTCATAAAGGCCTACCACCATCCTGCAACTTCTTTCCCTAATCCTTATTTTTATGATGCTGGCAATTTCAATAGGACAAGGAATTTCTCTCTTGACTTACTGAAAGGCATCCAAAAGATAACAAGGGACCACTTTAGTTTTTAAATACTCCGTGAGAATGATAGGGAAAGAGAAAAACAGATAAAGGAAATGACAGTGCTCACATGCTCTTTTGATTGTGTATGTGCTTCAAGCTTCCTGTGAACTTAGAGCCCTTCCACAGAGTCACATAACTCAGAATATCAAGACAGAATAACCCACAATATGTTCTTTGAATTGGGGGCCCTTCCACACAACCCTGTATTCCAAAATATCAAGGCAGAAAATTCAACATTATCTAAATGTGGACTTCGATAACCCAATTCAAAGCAGATAGTGTGATTTTCTGCCTGGATATTCTGGAATATAGGGCTGTGTGGAAGGGCCATGGGATGTCTGAGGGCCCTTCCACACACCCGTATATCTCAGAATATCAAGGCAGAAAACTCCAAATTATCTGAGTGTGGACTCAAATAACCCAGTTCAAAGCAGATATTCTGGGATATAGGGCTGTGTGGATATCTGAGTCCACACGGTCATATATTCCCATTCAAAACAATAACTCTGGATTTTATTCGGTTCCTTTTTATGAAAGTTAGGGCCCTTCCACACATCCCTATATCCCAGAATATCAAGGCAGAAAATCCCACAATATCTGCTTTGAACTGGGTTATATGAGTCCACAATCAGATAATGTGTGATTTTCTGCCTTGATATTCTGGGATATAGGGCTGTGTGCAAGGACCCATAGCCTAGGATACCTGGCATTCATTGGTATTCATTCCCACCCAAGTACTAACTAGAGGGAACAGTACTTATGGCATCTGCTGCCTTGAGGTCAGTGGTTCCCAGCTGTTGTTTTGGACTTCTGCTCCCAAAATGGAAGGGAATAACGTCCTTCTTGTTCAGCGTCCGAATAAGCCACTAATTCAAAGACGAAGCGGATGTAAAAACCCCTCCCAGCACCGCCAAGGAAGGCCAAACCTGAAGAGCAGGCCCGGTGGTTCCCCTTCCGCCTTCCCTTCCCTGGGGCCTTCTCTGGCCTCGCTCAATCCCGGGAGCAGCGCCGGTCACCTTGCCCGAGCCTTTCGTCCTAGAGCGGGCCTGGCCCCGCCCACAACCCGCGCAAAGGATTTCGGGAGCGCCGCGTTGAGAATAAGCCACCGCACGGCCGCCGAGGCCGCCTTTTGTCGTTCCGCCTGAGGAGAGGAGCGTCCCCTCACTCTATGGTGACTTACCGTTCTAAAGACAAGAGGAGAGAAAAAATCTTGGGAAAGGCGACTTTAAGTCTCTTGCACCGGAAGCCGTAAGGCTCATTTCCGGTTTGTAAAAAAAAACAAAAAAAAAAACCCCAAACTGTGGTGCGAGCTGTATAAGCGCCGAGAGGTGGCAGCAGCGGGCGCCGCGAGGGATGCCGGGAGGTGTAGTTTTGGCCCCTTTGGCGGGGGACGGTGTGTGTGTGTGTGTGCGCGCGTGCCTCCCTCCTTCCCCCGCCAGGGCCCCGCGCGCAGGCCTCTCCGCCGGAGTCGCAGCGCGCGCAGGCCCTTCCCGAGAGCCGCCGAGTCCCAGCGGGAGAGCGCGGCCGGAGGGTGGGGGCCGCGCGGGTGTCTTTTGTGGCCGAGGCCGGTGAGTGCCCGAAGGCGCGGAGGGGAAAGGAGGAGGAGGAGGGAGGGCCGCGGAGGGGGAAGCGCCTGGCTGGCGCCGTATCCGGGAGGGAAGGAAGGGAGGAAGGAAGGGAGGGAAAAAAGGAAGGAAGGAGGGGGTCTCGTGGCCTCGGCGCTTCTGGTGTTTTGTTTCCGTTTCTGCCCCGCGCGGCGCGAGTCTCATTTCCGTTCCGAGTTCAAACAACAAGGAGGCGCCGCCGCGGGCGGGAAGCAGGCCAGGAGAAAGAAAGAGGGGCCTGGGAAGGGACTCTGGGCATGGAGGCGCCATCTCTGACAGGGGGCGAGGCGGGAAAGGGCCCCTCGCCGCCCTCCGCGTCCCCCCCCTCCCCCCTCGCCCCCCCCCGCCCCCCCCCCCCCCCCCCCCCCCCCCCCCCCCCCCCCCCCCCCCCTCGCCGCCCTCCGCGTGGCGCCTTCTCCTCCCTGAAGAAGAAGACGGAGGAGGAGGAGGAGGATATAGGGCTGCCCCTCCGCCCTGCTTAAGGCCCCGTTTCAGGGCGAGGAGGTAAACAGCCCCCTTCCTTTGAGGCGAAGGCATTCCTGTGGGTTCTGGGCAGGGCTGTAGCCAAGGGGGGGGGGTGTGTGGGGGGGGGGGTCACGGGTTCCCGACGCCCAGGTTGAGAAATGCTGGCTTAAGGCCGTCCAGTCCAACTCCCTTCACCAGGGCCAGGAAACATAATCAGAGCCCTCCTGACAAAGAGCCATCCAGACAGAGATGTATGATTCACACACACATATGTATATGACAGATATAGTATCATAGATTTGAAAGGGACCTCTATAGAAGGACAATTATATGTTGCATGTTCCAGAGTAGGCAAACCAGACAATCTCTACATCAGCACTGACAAAGAAACAACCAGGAATACTGTTTACTCACAAACATATATTAGAAACCAAGTTTCTCGTTACTTAATGTTCCAGATCACCAGACTCTGCCACAGCAACGCATGACAGGGGATGGCTAATTTTTCAGGTTAATAAGAACCTGGTTTACTCATAAATTTTGACTGGTTAGCCAAAGCCCCAAGCTAAGTCTATGAGAAGCAAAAAATCAAACGAGTCCCTCCAGAATTGCAGGCACTATCTCAAGCAAATTTTGACAATTTATTCACACTGTCATTACTTGCAGCAACCAACTTGGCCTACCCATAAGTGCCAGTCAAACCATAAGGCAGTGGTTTGCAACCTTTCTAATTCCTAATACTGGAAGGGATTGGTGGGCATTGACCTTCCACTCCACTTCAGGTTGCTGGCTCTGCCTTTGTATCTGGCCAGCAGTACCTCACGTCTTTTAAAAAATGTTTTAATATATTTCACTCCTCTCAGTCGATTTGAGTCCCTCCAAAAGTTATCCTGTTCTGGAAGATTAAAGGGCCTGGAAAACTTCAGTGGCCTTCCTTTTTCTGTTGGCTAAAGCCATAATTATTCATTGTGTTAAAGTTACCCAAAGAGTAGTTAGATCACTTCTACCAGGGCTTTTAATCCCCCCCCCCCCCCGGCTAATGTCCCTTTTCAGCATCACATATAGGTATATAACAGGCATGGGCAAACTTTGGCCCTCTTTCCAGGTGTTTTGGACTTCAACTCCCACAGAACACAGAAATGCTAGACCACTCTAACAACCACCATGTCAGACTAATGGTCCTAATGTTGGAGAGTGGTCCTTAGTCAAAGTGGTCCCTGGTTAAAAAAAAAAAAAAAAGGAGGGGGGTTGAGAACCACCAATTTACAGTGATGGCACTGCACTTGTAAAAAGAAAGTAGGCTCTTTGTTGACTTTGTTTATCAGATCAAAGAGTTTTCAGTGGAATTAACAGCCTAATATTATTTATTTATTTATTAGAAGAGTCCTTGTAGTGTTAGTAGAATGCGTGTCTAAGTTGGGCCTACACTTCTGCCCTAAACCACTCAAATGGGAATCTGATTAAAGCACTTGCTCTTTCCTCTAATACACAGTACATGAACTAGCAAAAATTGTTTGTTTCATTTTGTATATAATGTGTGGATTAATCATTTGGACTTAATTTGCAGGCCATCTCTTGAAAAATTTCAGACATGACTAAAAGAGAATCAGACGAGCTAATAGAAATTGAAATCGATGGAACTGAGAAACAAGAGTGCACTGAAGAAAGGTATACAGAAAAGTTTTAAAAATAAAGATTGGAGAGGAGGAAATCTTCCTTGTAATATTTTTAGCTTAGGAAGAATATTGGGGTTTGGATTGTTAGTCGATAGTCACATGAAGAATGTATCCTTTTTCTAGAGGGGCTTCATGTGATTCTTCTCCACATTAGAGGCTACAAGCTATTTAAAATTTGTTAAAATGAGGTCAATTATTTAGATACTACTCCAGAAATGTTTTAAACTAAAACTTTTAACATAAACACAGCAGAAAACTTCTTTTCACTCTAATTTCAGCATTGTTGAGCAAACATATACCACTGTAGAATTTGTGAGTCAGGCAATTGATATCAATGAACCAGTTGGAAATCTTAAGAAACTACTGGAACCAAGGCTTCAGTGTTCTTTAGAAGCACATGAAATCTGTCTACAAGATATACAGGTAAAGCAATACATTTTTTTGTGAATGAGAGTTTATATTAACTGCAGTTGGTTGAATTATTGACTCTTCTCTCATTTCCACCCTCCTCATAAACTAATCTTGTGGGAACATGGGAGAGGGTATTCTCAGAATTTATCTGACATCACTTCCTAAAGAGGTCAGAGTTACCTACCCTTTACTGTCCTTCTGTTTGCAGATGAAAACTTTTTTATTGTGACAGATTTTGGAAAATATTTCTGATTTATATAATTTAAATGGTTATAATTCTATATATTCTAATACTTTAACATTCTAGGGGTATTTTTATCTTTACTTGTTTTTATTGCTATTAGCTGTCTTGACTTACAGGAAAAAGGCAGAACATGAATGCATAAGATACATAAATGATAAAAGATTATGGTCAGAGTCCAGTGGTATATTACTGCTGGGTCTCACTCTTTCTTCTAGAATTAGCATCCTCCTTTCCCTACCAAACTCCGGTGTACCCTAGATACCTGCTCCAAAGGACTGGGGACGTCCCTGGAACAAGTTTTCGGTTGAACAGAGAGGTGGAACTGATGGGAAGGTGGAAGAACACCCGAATTCTGCTGATGTTGAATTGCAGTGATATAATGTACTCTGCAGAGGTCATAAAATGTAAATGTTATAATGTTATAAACTAACAGTTATTTAAGCAGTTTGAAATCTATTGCTTTAAAAAATGAGAAGTTTGCTAGTATCAATATTTAGAACAAACAGTTTACAATTTCCTAAATTTATTTTTATGTTTTCAAGTTGGATCCAGATCGCAGTCTTTTTGATCAAGGTGTCAAAACAGATGGAACAGTGCAGCTTAGTGTCCAAGTAATATCGAGGCAAGGTAAGAAGTCAGTCCGACAGATATTTAATACTTCCTGTAAACAAATTCATGGATGTAGATTTATTACACACTGATAAGTGAACAGCTTTTGCTTATAAATTATTTTCTCTTTGAGTGTTTACTTTATGAGTACTTCAGCTTATTACTAAAATAGTACACATATAATGCAAGGGGAATCTCATAATTATACATATCAGTACTTGGCAAATTGAATTCCATTTAGCATTTTGAAGTTTTTGTAGTCATCTTCAGAGGTTTGTGACTTAGATGAAATATTGTTTGACTCATAATTGTACCGGAATAATTGAAAACATTTTAAGTCAAAGCATGTTCAGCATTTTTAGCATAGACAATTGGCTAGCATTTGTGGCTGATATAAGAATTAATAATGTGTAATGTTCCAGAAATACTTTAAAATTACACTATTTAGAATTTAATATAAATCTGACAACAGAGTTCTCAAATTGTTTTTTTTAATTGTTGTAAACCATTATCTCAGGCAGTTATGGCAAATCTTTTAAAGACAAAGTGCCCAAATCGAAGGTGTAGACTGTTGGGTGAGCAATCAGCAGGCAGGCGAGTGGGGGGAGGGATGGCGAGTGGGGGACGGGCCACAGACCGCATGCCAGGAGAGATCTGCCTTACGGCTGACCAGGAGCACCTCTGTCTTGTTAGGATTTAGTTTCAATCTGTTTTCCCTCATCCAGGTTAGAGGTAAAGTTCCAAAAGCCCAATTCCCTATCTAGTGAACCCTTGGAATCTGAAGGGGGATTGATTCCAGGACCCTCCATTGATACCTGTCCAGTAATATACAAGGATGTAGTAAAATGGCAAGATGAAGTTTCCTTTTTGGATTTTTTTAAAAATTCAAACCATGGATGGTTTTTTCCCCTGTGGATAAAGAGTGCAGACACTGAATGTAAAGAAAACTGTGGAAGGATGGTTTAGTTTCTATAAATTGCTTTTTTAAAGTTGTTCATTTATTTATCCTTTCTTTCTATAGGAATAGAACCAAAGTTAAACATCCTTGAAATTGTAAAGCCAGTCGAGACAGTTGAGGTGGTGATTGACCCAGATGCCCACCATACTGAGACTGAGGCACATCTTGTTGAAGAAGCTCAAGTGATAACACTAGATGGGACAAAACATATAACCACCATATCTGATGAAACATCTGAACAAGTAACTCGGTGGGCGGCAGCATTAGAAGGCTATCGTAAAGAACAGGAGCGCTTAGGAATACCATATGGTACGAAGTTATTTATATTTTTGCACCCTCATCCTTTCATGCTCCTAAGGACTTTCTTCTATGCCTCTTTGTAGTTACTTTCCATCATCTTTTCTGTAATTTTTGTGTTGTCACTCCCAAATATTTTATTTTCTTCTTTTCAATGTCTGTTTCTCTTATGTATACACAAGTACAGAAAGACTTGTCTAATCTTCAGGCTTTCTTCTTGGTTATAAAACGATTATGCAAAGGTATATATAGTTTCAGTTGTGAATGTTTTAACTGTATGAGTTCAGCATTGATGCTTCATAAGTGAGAGATGCAAAGCCATTTATACTGAATTTTATATTTTCTTTTGAAAGACCTTGGTGTATTTAAATGTATCACCTAGGGGGAATATTGCATTTTGATTATTTTCAAACTGTCCAATTGTAATAGATAAATACGTTTTCGAAGAACTGTTTCATGACTGAAGTATTGTATATCAGTTTGTAAGAGTTTTGGCAACTCTGAGTCCCCTTCGGGGGTGAGAAGGACGGCATATAAATTCAGTAAATAAACAAATTTGTGGATAATTTTAATAACATTCAGGGTCTTGCTAATTCAAGACTTGATACCAGGCAGTTTCACATTGATTAATTATTATGTCAAATATCTGACATGAATTCAGAAAATATGTGACATTTTAGTATATGGGAGAGTGAATATTTTGCATACAGAAGATTCCAGATTCAATCCTTAGCATCTGCTAAAGAAGCATTCCAAGTAACATTATTGAAAAAGAGAAGAATTGTTGGATTAACTGGAGGTTTGGTTCAGATGCAACATTAAATTGTGCATGAATATAATAAAACTTGTGCAGACATGAGCCTTGTACTTAATATCCTTTTGTTCCTTTCCAAGTTTTGTAATTTTAAACTTTTGTTAGTTTTTTTTTTTTTGAACAAGCTTACATCTGAATTTGGTTTGTTCTATCCAAAGTTGATTTAAACAAATCAGATAGTGATTTCAGATCCAGGTATATTGATTTATCAGTAGTGATTTCAGATCCAGGTATATTGATTTATCAGTGCCATGAAAAACCACATATTCCCATATTTATAGTTAACAGGAAATACATTTGTTACAAATTACACCAGGGAGCTCAAAATCCTTTCTTTTTTCTATAGCAGGGGAGATAGCTTTTGGAAGCATTACAACCTACATCACAACAACCATGATTTCTTGATACATCTGAACTTGGCTAATATAGTAGCATGTTCTGTTTGATAGTACAATTGTGGGTTATGGAGAAGAGACTGCATAAAAACAATTTCCCAGAGTGGTCAGCTATGAATCACACATTTGGTATATTCCTGCGCTCGCGCAGGCAGCAACAAACATTCTCGAGACTATTTTTGACCGTTAGAGTAGCCCCGTCCATTCTCCCAGTCAGTATAAGTAGCCCAGTAGCAGAGCTACTGCCCAGTTCTTCTAATCCGCCGCTAAAAGCAGCAACGGAATCAGAGACTTTACAAATAATCTAAAAACTAATATTAAACCAGAAGGAAGATGTCTACCACTTCCTTCAAAAAATGTGTATCGTGCCCAAATAAGATTCCAGATAACGATGCACACCTTAATTGTCTACTATGTCTAGGAGAGCGACACCTCTCCCAAATGTGCGCCATCTGCAAGGTGTTCACGCCACAAACCAAAAAGAATAGAGAACTGAGACTGAAAGCTGCTCTCTACGAGCAAGCCCTTCTTCTATCTACACAAATAACACAAGATGAAACCGTCGGAGCGCCTCTCACAAAAATGAATAAGAAAAGTCAGCCAGCGGCGCACCCAACGAGCACACAAACCGCTGATATCAGAATAAGAAATAAGAAAAACACCAAGCCGCAGATCCCCTCGTGAGAGGGAGAAACAGTGCCACAACACCCTAAAACAATGGTGCAAGCGGCAAAGGAAGCTCCCTCGACAGGGGAAGCAGGAATAGTGGGCAAGGGGGTGACCCCAAAAATCCCCACTGATCCCTATAATAGGGATCAAGAGGACAAACAGGCAGAGAAAGAGATAAATGCTTCAGAAGCCTCTGCAATGCCACCTGCCTTGACCCGCACAGCAAACAACAGCCAGGACTCAATTATGGAGGCATCGATCCTAGCACCGCCTCCTCCAGCCGGGCTGTTTGGGGAAGCCTCTCCAAAACACGGTCAAGTCCGCCCTCCATCTCAAGGCTCAGCAAGACTGGGGAGGCGTCGAGGCCACTCCATGTCAAGGAGCACTTCCAGCTCCTCCTCCAGCGCCTCCCCCTCTCCCAGAAGAGAGAAGAGATACAGAAGAGGGAGGAGCCGGAGAAGCTTCTCTCGCTCATCCTCGATGTGGATGAGCAGGCAAGAAATACCCCCGATGCCAATAACTTCTCAAGGGCGTTTCTTGCACATAACTGCATAAGGGGATGGTGATTCTCTTCTTCTGGGGGATATTGTTGGATCTGTTAAGACAGTTAATTCTGATAAAGTAACTTTCCTAAGATAATATTACTATAATACAGTTTCTTTCTATGAAAGAAACTGTATTATAGATCATTATAATAGGTGATGTATCACAGTTCTTTTTGTTCATAAATGTGCTTGATCTACCTGAAATTGCTGTCAGTTGGGTTGTTATAATGTCTTATGTTACTATAAAGAAGTGTTTTGTGGAATCTATGGTGTAACATTTAAAAAAATACTCAGAATCCTTCTTTACTTTCTTAGACCCAGTACAATGGTCCACTGATCAGGTGCTACACTGGGTAGTATGGGTGATGAAGGAATTCAGCATGACTGACATAGACCTCAATACTCTTAGTATTCCTGGGAGAGAATTATGCAGCCTCAGTCAAGAGGACTTCTTTCAGAGAGTCCCTCGGGGAGAAATCCTTTGGAGCCACCTTGAACTTCTTCGAAAATGTATGTGAGTTTTTTTCAGCAAGTATTTGTATTATGACAATCCTAATTATCAAGCAGTTTATGCAGGCACAAAGTATGGCATATAAAAATATTATTATTTTTTAAAAATTATTTGTACTCCGCCACCATCTCCCCGAAGGGACTCGGGGCGGCTAACAAAGCACTCCAAAGTGCTGCACATAAAATAAAAACAATCACATAGACATAAAAGTGATAAAAACATAAGCAAGCATTCATAAAATATCACATAATCAAGGCCTTTAAGGCCTTTTATCTACAAAGTTCAAAATAATTCCTCATTCCCCCCTTCTACCCTTCTTGCATGATACTCATACTGTTTTGTTTCTAATTTTAATATTCTCTTCAAAATAATAGTAATGTTCATTCGTATCTAATATTTTCAATAAAAATGTCCCTCTAGGTTAGCCATGGCATTCATTTGAATAAGTGGTACATTTGTTGTGTCTTTCAGATGTGTTGGCTAGTCAAGAACATTCTGGAGAAATAGCAACAGTTACTATTGATCAACGTAAGTTGTAGTTCTATATTTTTTCTTTAAAAAGAATACAAGTTTTCAACCTGTTTTCAACTTAGAAGGATATTAGAGTTTCATAACTTATTCCAGTTTTGAAGTTCATGAGCTGTTGCACTTACACTATGGTTTCTGCTGAGCATAATTGAGATTTGGGACATCTGAGACTCTAATTGTTAGGCCTTTTGGGTAAACTGGATGGAGTGGGCAACTTCCAAAGGTTTTGAAACCAATATATCTACCCTCTTAAAACTCAAGAGTGCTACACCTGTGCGCTATCAACCTGCACCTATGATTCTCTGATTTTTGCTTTGCTTTGTTTTGTTTTGCATTTGATTTGACATTTGCATCTTCTAGGGGCTTCTTTTAAGCTTTAGGAGCCAAAATTGCAGTGAAGGAACGAGTTACACATTATAGAGAATATAATTGGCCCTTCTAAAATATATTTCTTGAGTTCGAAGCCAGCCTGGGTTGGAGTGGGTTTCCAACCAATTGTGTGTAGCCTGTTGTCGACCTTTGCAACCCGAAAGACAGTTGCATCTGTCAAGTAGGAAAATAAGGTACCACCTTAAAGTGTGGGGGGGCTAAATTAACTGATTTATGAGGCCATAAAGAAGACTCCAGCAAAGCATTCCAGCAGGGAAGCATGCGTGGGAATGCGGAAGTGCTTCATCAGCGTCGCAGATGGACGATGAAAGCGACAGCTCCCCTGGCGGCCAGAAAAAGTTAAATAGCCTCTGTGTATGTCTGTATATGTTTGTATGTCAAAAAATTGGCATTGAATGTTTGCCATATATGTGTACACTGTAATCCGCCCTGAGTCCCCTGCGGGGTGAGAAGGGCGGAATATAAAAGCTGTAAATAAATAATTAATAAATAATATCAGTAGAGGTCCTGAGGGAAATACAGAGCCCATGTTCTTTGCTTCCTCTGTTCTCGATGTCTGATAGTCTCACATTTTTAAATGCTTCATAGCATTGGTTTCTGGGTTCACAAAAACTGAACAAAACTACCAAAATATTTCATCTCCAGTTTTATTAAATTTATTTATTTATTTTATTATATGTACACATTGCAAAGGTTTTTGAAACAGAGCTCATAGTTCAAATGCACCCGTATCACATTAGTAATAGATTATTACGTTACCTGTGTTTATAGCAGCACATTGTAATGTGTTCACATCAGATGTTTGTAATACTTCAGAAGATTCATCTGCATTATAGTCTGGAATAGCAATTCCTTCATGTGCTCCTTTCACACATTTGTAATTCTATTGTTTAATGTTTTTATCTCTGTAGCGGTGCAGATTATACCAGCTTCTGTACAGCCTTCTACTCCAACTACCATTAAAGTTATAAATAGTACTGCAAAAGCAGCAAAAGTGCAGAGAGCACCAAGGATTTCAGGAGAAGATAGAAGTTCACCTGGTAACAGAACAGGTATTTTTTTTCAAAAACCAACAGATTATAAATATATACATAGCAGATATACTAATCTGTAGGACTAATTATAAAATCCACGAGGTCCTGTTTTATTTGGACAGTGATAACACCATATTGTCATTTTTAAAAATCCCAAATATACAGGTTTTTTTTTAAAAAAAATACAAAATGAAGTATGGGGCGTCTTATCTTTCCCCTTTTAGCTTTCTGTTTCATATTTTATTTCAGTTTTTTTAAGCATCTTCTCTGTCAGAACTTTGAAATCATTTTTATTTTCTCTTTCTCTGTTGTACCTAAAAAGAGGTGATAAATTATTTAGTAAGACATTTTAGAGGCCCTAACTGAATCCGGCTTTGAAGCAGTGACCATAAGCCTCTGTACTCAAATATATGTCCTGCTGGACTTCCCAGGAAGCATGCTTGTATCTGAATACAAGTTTCCATTTCCAGTAAGGCAAGAAAGTAGAAAGGTGTCTAAAGAAGTCAAGGTGGATTTATAAACAATTTTCAGATAAGCTGAGATTGAACTGAAGAAAAGTGGAAATCCTCAAAGGAGAATATGAATAAATACCCAGGGAAAATACTAAGACAAACCACAGTTGAGAATGATTTCAGGCTTTCTGTAGAGCAGCGTTTCTCAACCTGGGGGTCAGGACCCTTTGGCAGAGAAGGTTGAAGAGCTCTCCACCTGTCCTTCTCTTCCCACCAAAAGCTCTCTTCCTGCTGTGATTGGCTGGCCTCTCAGCCAAGGGGAGGGATGTTTCTGAGACGCCAAGTGGGGAAGAGCAGGCATTCTTGGCACATGGCAGCATGGTGCACATGTGCAGGCGAGGGAGAGTGTGAAAATCTGGAGGGGGGCTTGCGCAGCGAGTCCCTTTAAGGCATGGGGGTTCAGTGTGGGAAGTTTGGCCCAATTCTATCATTGATGGGGTTCAGAATGCTCTTTGATTGTGGGTGAACTATAAATCCCAGCAATTACAACTCCTAAATGTCAAGGCCTATTTTCCCCCAACTCCACCAGTGTTCACATTTGGGCATACTGAGTATTTGTACCAAGTTTGGTCCAGATCTGTCATTGTTTGAGTTCACAGTGCTGTCTGGTTATACGTAGGTGAACTACGACTCCAAAACTCAAGGCCAATGTCCACTAAACCTTTCCAGTATTTTCTGTTGGTCCTGGGAGTTCTGTATGCCAAGTTTGGTTCAATTCCATCGTTGGTGGGGTTCAGAATATTCTTTGATTGTAGGTGAACTATAAATCCCAGCAACTACAACTCCCAAATGACAATATCAATCCCCCAACTCCACCAGTATTCAAATTTGGGCATATCGGGTATTGGTGCCAAATTTAGTCCAGTGAATGACAATACATCCTGCATATCAGATATTTACATTACATTCATAACAGTAGCAAAATTACAGTTATAAAGTAGCAAGGAACATAATTATTTTTGTTGCTACTTCGTAACTTTAATTTTACTACTGTTACAAATTGTCGTGTAAATAACTGATATGTAGGATGTATTGTCATTCACTAGACCAAACTTGGCACAGATACCCAATATGCCCAATAATAAATAAATGTCTGGCTATTCTTAGAGAATTCACTTCTCCAGGGTCTGATGAACTGTATCCAAAACTAACAAACTAGCAGATGTAGTCTTGGATACACTGTCAATAATCTTTGAAAATTCTTGGGGATCAGGAGAGGTCCCAGCAGATAGAAGGAAGGCAAATATCATCCCCATCTTCAAAAATGACAAAAAAAGGATCCAAGCAATTACTAATCAGTTACTTTGACTCAATACCAGGAAAAGCTCTAGAAGAGGCCTGCACAATTTATGGCCCTCCAAGTGTTTGGACTTCAGTCCCTATAATTCCTGACCATTGGAACAGGTGGCTAGGGCTTCTGGGAGTTGGAGGCCAAAACACTGGATGGTCACACGTTGTGCAGGCCTACTCTAGAACAAATAGTTGAGAGTATTCTTGCATTGCAGGAGTTTCAGATAGCCCCTTAGCTTTAATTTAAATGTTTTGAAAGTGATAGCACTGACAGCTTGCTAAGGGAACAGATATTTAATTGTATTTTATTTTGCAGACATTAACACACCTGCAGTATTTATTACAAACTGCTTCAGTCAGAAGCTCAGAGTTTTTGACACCGTCTGCTTCATGCATTAGTGCGACAAAATGAAATGTCACAAAAAATGAAACAAGATTTTGGAGTAATGGATATTTTAACGAGCTAGATATTAACGATAATATTTGGCATATTTTATACTTCAAAGAGTTTACATCACTGAAAGTCTTGCTTGCTATTTAATTTTATTTGGTCCTAATAAACTTTTGTATTTCCCTCTCTGCACACACTAGGCCTGTTTGATCAAGAAAAAATTTGTTTCTAAAATCAATTTGTAATTGGGGTGTTTTTTGTTTCGATATTTAAAATAATTACAAAACTTTCCCAAAAAAGGTTTTGGTATTTACGAAATTTCGTAAATATTTACAAAACATTTTGTAAAGATGGCGGACCCCCGCGCATGCGTAAAAAACACTTCCAAAGCTTCGTTATTTCTGAGGATGCCTGCCATACATGCAGGCAAAACGTCAGGAGAGAATGCTTCCTTCCTTCCCCTTCCCCCTTTCTCTCCCCTTCCCCCTTTCTCTCCCCTTCCCCTTCCTTCTCCTTCCCCCTCCCTCCTTCCCTCCCTTCCTTTCCTTCTTCCTTCCTTCCTTCCTTCCCTTGCCCCAGATGCCGGCCCGGGGAAGCCAGCGTTGCCTGGCCACGCCCACCCGGCGCCGCCTCCGCTTGTTCTCCTGGCACAGCTGGGAGGGGAACAGGAGGTGCTTCATGGCCGCAGATCATCTTCTGCTGTGCTCTCTTGTTCTCCGTGGCCACGAGACGCCACCTGCTTCCCTCCCAGCCGAGGAGGCAGCGCCTGGCCCGGTGTACCACGGAGAGAAAGAAGAAGGAAGGAAAGGAAGGGAGGGAAGGAGGGAGGGAGGGGAAAGGAGAAGAAAGGGAAGGAAGGAAGGGGAAGGGAAGAGAAAGGGGCCAGGGGAAGGAAAGAAGGAAAGAGGGGGAAGCCTGGTCCGGCAAAGTTTGGTCCAGATCCAACATTGTTTGAGTCCACAGTGATCTCTGGATGTAGGTAAACTACAACTCCAAAACCAAAGGACACTGCCCACCAAACCCTTCCAGTATTTTCTGTTAGTCAGGGGAGAACTGTGTGCCAAGTTTGGTTCAATTCCATCGTTGGTGGGGTTCAGAATGCTCTTTGATTATAGGTGAACTATAAATCCCAGTAACTACAACTCCCAAATGTCAATGTCTATTTCCTCTCCTCCCTGCCTTCCATGAGGATGTGTGTGTGAATGGCGAGAAAAGCAAGAACCCTGGAGTCCACACGCCTCACTTTACAAAGAATACAACCACAACTGTTGCTAATCAGTGGTGCAACGGGATAAACACTTGTGCCGATAGAACGGCTGACTGAGAGGTCAGCGGTTCGAATCCGAGGAGAGTGGGGTGAGCTCCCCCTGTCAGCTCCAGCTCCCCATGCAAGGATATGAGAAAAGCCTCCCACAAGGATGATAAAACATCAAACATCTGGACTTCCCCTGGGCAACGTCCTTGCAGACGGTTCTCTCATACCAAAAGCGACTTGCAGTTTCTCAAGTCATCCTGACACGATAAAGAAGCACTCCCTGTCAGGCACAGGCATGTCTTGGAGCTCTTAATGAGACAATGGGTTAAACCCTTGTGACTGACAGGTCAGCAGTTCGAATCCAGGGAGAATGGGTTGAGCTCCCTCTGTCAGCTCCAGCTCCCCATGTGGGGACATGAGAGCTCCCGCAAGGATGGTAAAGCATCAAAACATCCTGGCATCCCCTGGGCAACATCCTTGCAGACGGCCAATTCTCTCACATCAGAAGCGACTTGCAATTTCTCAAGTCGCTCCTGACACGAAGAAAACTGTTGCTGATCCAAAGGGGAGGCTGCAAGTGGGGGCTCTTGGCGAGCAAGCAACGCCGTCTCCAGGCGGATTGCTTCCAATATGGGTTTCAAAGGAAAGGAGAGAAAAAGGAAAAGAAGGATTTCGTCTCCTTCCTTGCAATGTTTTTGTCAGCCCGGTTTGAAAGGCTCTCCCTTCCCCTTGCACCCGCCCTTGCCGTTCCCTCTTCCCTGCTTTGCATTTTGGTCAATAAACAGCAACTTCAAGGGATGTATTTGGCGGGAGGGAGGAGGAGGAGGAGGAGAGGATAGCTACTTTCCCCCAAACTCCACCAGTGCCCTAAGGGCGAGCGCGCGCGGGCCGGCCAATCGGGAGCCGCGCTCGCGCCCAACAGGCAGGGGCGGGGCTTGGCTCACTGGGTGCGCGCTCGCGCCGCCCCCTCGCCCCGCCCGCCCCATTTACGAAACGGGCGAAAGCTCATAAAAACTGTGGGGGTTGCCGTTTCGATATTTAAAAACCCTTCCGGGTTTGAAAATATGTTTTGTTATCGTTTCGTATATGCAAAAATTAACGAATGTTTAACGAATTAACGAATTAACGAACGAAACCGCACAGGCCTAGCACACACATGTATGGTAACAGGCTAACACAGCTATCTCCTTTTATACAGGATTCTTGGCTGATTAGATTTCTGCATATTAAATCTTTAGTTAGGTCAAATTCTAAAAATATTTTAAGTTCTAATTACTTCTATCTTCTATAGGAAATAATGGTCAGATCCAGCTATGGCAGTTCTTGCTTGAGCTTCTGACTGACAAAGATGCTCGGGATTGCATTTCATGGGTTGGTGATGAAGGGGAATTCAAACTAAATCAACCAGAGTTGGTTGCACAGAAATGGGGTCAACGTAAAAATAAGCCTACCATGAACTATGAGAAACTCAGTCGAGCTTTACGGTAAGTCAAGAGCATGTTATTTTTTAATTTAAATAAATAAATAAATATCCAAAAAAAATTAGGGGGAGAAGTTCCATGGGAGGTAGCCTTTCAGCAGAGGTAATAGAGTCTCCCCTCTTTCCCATCTATCTGTTTTTCACCTAAAGGAATAACCACTGCTTGGAGAAAGTGAAGGAGGACAGCTAGTCTTTCAGCTAATAATTAATGAATTGGCACTGTTTCCTCCCACCCCTCTCCTGTTGGGATGACTACTGTGAGATGACAGTGCAAAACTGCTCGTGGGGGTTCAGATTAGTTTTCATCTAGTTCAGCATCTTGTTTTGGCAGCAATTGCATGGGCCTGCAAAGCTTCACAAGCAGAGCATGAAAACTGCTAGCTCTTTCATTGTTCATCCCTCAGCATATGGTTGCATTTGTGCAGTCTTTATATATAGGTGATTGATTTCCTGTTACAACAATCGGTATATTTACCAGGATTTAGTAGAAGTAGTACCTTCTCCTAAATGTATAGTCAGTTAAGGGCTTGCTTTACTTAAACCAGTTCACTCTGTCAGTTGAATTAACTAAAAATATGAAAGTCATTTGAATGTAAACTCCCTGACACACAAACTTTTTATGAAGCTGCTTGTCAGTTTATTGAGGCTATGTACTATAAATTCTTCTCCGATAATAGTAGTATTAATGTGATACCTCATGATGTTTATTCATGTTAGTGTAATAAACATTTTGAATCTGTTACTTGAGTCTCATATTTAAGTTGGGCTGAATCTTTCAAAAGACTAGAGCTTGGAAGCATTTATGTTTTTGCTGCAGCTCTTGGGAACCTAGTAGTTGCAAACTAAAAAAATAATAATAAAATTTTCAACTTTTCACATTTATGTATTGAGGAGAAAGGCTTTGTAATATATCTTGATAACACAGTGCATTTTCCTCAAGTTGGAACTGACAGAAAACTCCACATCTTTGAAAGGTTTGTGTGGACAGACTATTGCTTTCCTTCCTTAATTAGTAAAACAACTTCAGTTGGCCCAAGTATGTGGCTGAACCCTCCACACTCTCCAAATGTAGGTAGTATATTCCTTCTTAAGTAAAAATGGCATTTAAAGGTTTACCTTTACCATAAGGAAAAATTCATAGGTAAAGAGGGAATGGGATGGCAACTGCATTTGCTTTTCATTGGAGCCATTCATCAGGTTTGCAGATGACACCAAATTGGGAAGGATAGCCAATACTCCAGAAGACAGGAGCAGAATTCAAAACGATCTTAACAGATTAGAGAGATGGGCCAAAACTAACAAAATGAACTTCAATAGAAACTAATGCAAGACACTCCACTTAGGCAGAAAAAAAAAAGAAATGCAAATATACACAATGGGGGACACCTGACTTGATAGCAGTACATGTGAAAAGGTCTTGGAATCCTTGTGGACAACAAGTTGAACATGAGCCAACAATGTCATGTGGCAGCTAAAGAAGCCAATGGAATTTTGGCCTGCATAAATAGGAGTATAGTGTCTAGATCCAAGGAAGTCATGCTGCCCCTCTATTCTGCTTTGTCAGACCATACCTGGAATACTGTGTCTAATTCTGGGCACCACAATTTAAGGGAGATGTTAACAAGCTGGAACATGTCTAGAGAAGTGCTACTAAAATGACCAGGGGTCTGGAGAATAAGCCCTATGAGGAGCGGCTTAAAGAGCTGGACATGTTTAGCCTGCAGAAGAGACAGCTGAAAGGAGACATGGTGACAGCCATATATAAATATGTGAGGGGAAATCATAGGAGGGAGCAGGCTTGTTTTCTGCTGCCCTGGAGACTAGGACGCAGAACAAATGTCTTCAAACTACAGGAAAGGAGATTCCACCTGAACATTCAGAAGAACTGTTAGAAGGAGGGTTTGGAACAAAGCTCCAGTATTGAATTTGTTTATTAATGTATCATTTTGTGTCAGTCAGATTTAGTTACTTTTCAAGAACGTTTGGTTTCCTTTTATCTCTTAATGAAGGTATTACTATGATGGGGACATGATCTGCAAAGTCCAAGGCAAGAGGTTTGTGTACAAGTTTGTCTGTGACTTGAAGACTCTCATTGGGTACAGTGCAGCAGAGCTGAACCGGTTGGTCACAGAGTGTGAACAAAAGAAACTGGCAAAGATGCAACTTCATGGCATTGCACAACCGGTCACAGCAGTTGCATTAGCTACTGCATCTCTACAGACAGAAAAAGATAACTGAATACCCCGGACCAAAAGCGTGGACGCATGAGGCCTTTATTGTATACTGAGCAGTTTCTGGTCTTAAAATGGGAGCTTCCTTTATTCCTTAGCAGTTCAATATGCATGGTTTTTCTACAGAAAATCGAGACTTCCATGATTGAGATCTTTTTTCACTTAAAGGTATATATTTCATGTTTATTGATGGCACTCCACAGACAAGAATTGGCAAGAAGAACCCAAATTTGTTGGTGATATATTTTGCCTTACTGATGTACCCCCCCCCCGCCCAGCATTTTAGGAAACTGAAGTGTTTGCAAAACACAGCAATCACTATTTTGAGTTTAGTTTTTTGCACTTCTCTTCAGCCACAAGACAGAAAGTAATATATTTCCAGAGAGGAAGTAGCTTCTGCTTGCCATGCTCTTTATTATGTAAACATGCCAAGCTGTAAGGAACACTGAGAAGTACAGGCCCCCTCAGGTAATGTTTCTTTTCATTAGCAAAAAGAAGAGTAATACAACAAGAACCGAAAGATATCCCAAGTGTCAGTCCAATGAGGTCAAAACCAATTATGAATATTTTGATATAAAATGTAGATAATGCACATATTTGTGAGAAAGAGCTTAATTATCTGGAGACATCTTGCAAAGTTTAATGTCTGGAAAAAAATCAATATTTTTCCTGTTAGGAGATGCTATTTCTCATCCAAAGAATTGGTTTGGTTTGCTTAATTTACACTGCAGAGTATATCAGCTGATTTTGCATATACTTGCACTATAGCTGAATATGAACTGAAGACTTATGTTAATCACAGACAGAAGTCCCTTCCTGTTTGGAAGCAAAGCATAATCTGTGGGTAAACTGGTAAGAAATGGAAGTTTGACTTCCTTATGATATATAGACTACCGTATTAAAATAAAAATGCGGTTTCTTCCTTTAAATTACTTGGTTTCCAAGCTGTTGTTTTGGTGCTTTGGAAATAAATGGGTGCATTATTATTCAGATTAAACAAAATGTAGTTCCGTGATTTGGTAATATTTGAAGTGAAATACATTTTAAATCTAGATGCAGTAATGCTAGTGCTTTGTTTATTCCTGCATATTTTTTTGTTATGATCTTTTAATCACCATATAAAACTTGGAAAATACATTTACATCGATATTTTTTTTCTTCTTCACCTTAAAATATGTGTTGTATTGTATGTGTGCTTATATGTGTGTATTAACACACATATAAACCTGCACACACACATCAGCACACACACCTGTATCTAATTATTTAAAATTATGTTCCAAATGTGGGCTTTTAAACTAACTATAATTAAAAGAACAATGCTGTTAGAAAATGTGATTTCATATAACAGAAAAACTGCAAATGGTTACACAATAGGTCTTCATCCTTCATGCATAAATCATTCAAAATTGAGCATTAGGCTTAGAGTAATAAGCAATGAGCATAAAATATGACATAGCTCTGGCATATTGGGCAATACCTATAATTACCTTAAGAGTCCCAGTAATTTCAACAAGCCTAGCAGTAGTTTTCTTGCTGAAAAAGAAAAGAAAAATTCCATAGTCCTGAACTATCATCTTAGAAAAAGAAAATATTTAACATACTTTGACCAGTTAAGTCCAGTGGAGCTTGCTGTATATAACAGAACACATAGTTCAATTTTGTTCTATCCTTCAAACAGAATATATTAGGTCATTTCTGTAGGATAATTATAAGAAAAGAAAAGTCCACTTTCATCACATTTCACTTCTATGCATAGCAGGAGCTGTTAGCTGAGAGCAAATGGGGTGCAACTCTGTGAAAGTGGGCTGTAGTATTGTGCAGCATTAAGAAAGACAGGTAATATTAGTCTTATTTCTAGTTTATATTCTCCTCTTAAATATATATTTGTAGTGTATCAGACTTCTAATGTTTCATTGTAGAAGGCTGTAAATTAAATACATGTAACTACAAGGCTGCATGTATTTAATATTGTCATAGATATATTGAGCTATGCACATAATAGACTAAGCCATATTAGGGGTAATGGCAAATGGCTGTTCTTTTGTATACACTGGATTGTTTCCTGACCTTTATATTTTCAGTATACTTTATTAGCAGATTTGTTGGATGCGTTAAATATTTTACCCATTTATAAAGCATTGATGTGTTCAAAAAACACTGGCTTGGGTCCACACTTTGTAATGCTTTATTAGACCCATTAAAACAAAAAAGTTAGTCATGACTAACATAAGTTCCATTAGTTTCAGTGGATATATCTTCGGTATGACTTTACTTAAGTCTAGTCCATTACATGTTCAACAGATTTTTTTTTTTGTGGGGGACAATCTGTGACTAATTTGAGGTCTTCAGTAAGAGGGTATGGATTATTGTATGTCAGACAGCTCCGAGTGGCTGTCAGAACTAAAATATAAATGTTATATTCCCAAATTTTTGTAAATTGAGAGGTTTTGCATACATTTTTACTCTTTAAGGACACATATTCTGATAATTATGTATTTCTTTTTGTGTTGAATTTTTTGGTAATTTTACATGAAACAATTATTTCTATTTTTACTCTAAAATATTTGTGCATAAAATTGTCAATATAGTAAAGTAAGAAAATAAAATTTTACACAGCAAAATGTTTTGACTTTTGTGCATTTTAAAGGGGCTTTGTGAGCAATTTTAGCACGTATAATAGGTTGGATACAGACTTTGTCATGTTTAGAGTACACCAGTTGAAATCAATTTGGTCCAGTTAGTCATAGCTGTATGCACAGTTGATGTGCACTAAGCATGACTGAAGTATGGTTGAAACCAGTAGTGCAATAATAGCAGAAGAAGAGATTACACACATGGGAAAAAATAATGATCTAAATCCAACATGAAGCTAGAAGCTGACTGCCAGTGCAATGGCATTTGTTCATATCTGTTCTCCCTTGCAGTGCTCCTCATTGCCTGAAAAACAGCAGACTTCATTTCCCAGTCTTCAGAGTAGGTTTTAGGAGTCCAGGTTAGACTACAGTGAGGAGAAGGAATGGTCCTCTTACTGAGGCCCCTTCCACAGATGAAAAAATCCCACATTTTCTGCTTTGAACTGGAATATATGGCAGTGTGGATGCAGATAACCCAGTTCAAAGTATATATTATGGGATTTTCTGCCTTGATATTCTCCGTTATATGGCTGTGTGAAAGGGCCCTGAATGCAATCCTAACTACCAAAAGTAATCAAAAGGTGAATTGGAGTAAGACCTCTTTCTGCCTTCAAAATGAGGCATCTGAATATATTTCAGACCCTAAGATAGCCTTCCAGGGGCTATAGCATCATGACCTTAATTTTCATTCTTACCATTGCAATGTCAGACGATATTATTTATTTATTTATTATTTAAACTTATATGCCGCCACTCCCCTGGGGCTCGGAGCGGCTTACAAGAATAGCTAAAATCTAACAAAGTTTAAAAGCAATTTAAAACAGTTTAAAAACAACAGTATCAAACATTAAAAGCCTGTCGGAACAGGTATGTCTTACATGCCCTGCGGAAAGCTGGTAAGTCCCGCAGGGCACGAACTTCAGGTGGCAGAGCATTCCAGACTGATGGCGCCACTGCTGTGAAGGCTCTGCGTCTGGTTGCTGTTAGACGCAAGGTCTTGACACTGGGGACTTCCAATAGATCTTGGTCCTCAGAACGGAGGGATCTCTGGGGTTGGTAGGGGGTGAGACGATCCCTCAGATACATTGGCCCCAGACCATGCAAGGCCTTAAAGGTGAGTACCATCACTTTAAAAGTGATCCGGTGCTCAATTGGTAACCAATGCAGCTGTAGTAAGATTGGTGTTATGTGGCATCTCATCGGAATTCCCGCAAGAAGCTAATGATAATGTGTGATATTAATCAAGATGAGTTTATTTTAAAATGTGCTGAACTATCTGTCTATTTCAAGACTTCATTCCACTGATTCTTTATGCATTTTATTCCTTCTTGTAAGACTGGCACATAAAATGTCCATAACTTCCATCCTCTGACATTTCTAGTGTTGAATGCAGCAGAGAAAAAATTGACCACAACTTGAGGTTTGCCTCAAACACATCCAATTTGAGGTCACATGCTTTTATGAAATCATAATTACGTTTACATTTGATACTAAATACATAAAACAATGTACCTTCCTTACTGGCTGGTTTGTAATACCTTTTGGTTGTCAAAGGGCAAGTGTTCTAATATTTATACTGTTCTTGTCACTTGTGCTAGAAGAAAAAGCTCTAGAGCATTTTAAAAACGAAACTGAAAGATGTGTTTCAGTACATAAACACAGTACCTATCACTGAGCAATATTTGTTAACTATGTTTATCTTGTCAGTTTCTGTTCGTTTTGCTTTAGAATTAATTGCTACTATATTAATGGACATCTCCATTCAGAGGCTTGGAATGCACATCTTAATAGGGTGGCTTTATCATACTTGTAACATGTTACCAAAATAATCTGGAAAGTTGTTAAGATGTCTGTCCTTGATTTCTATTAACGTTTGGACACGTTTGTTTTTCACACATGCTTCTTTTCCTTTCTACTTTCAACTGGAAGCACAGCAATTAAGTATATTTCGTTATGGCAAGATAAATATCTGAATTATGCAGAGGAATCCTCCATTTTCCATTAAAATGGTCCATTCCATGAGACTTATGGCTGAAAAACTAGTTAGCAAAGCAAAGGGTTGTTAATGCTAATGATAAGAAATTACTATGGGAAGGGTGAATGAGGCGTTTGTAATGCGGTTTGTATCAAATTCATTTTAAAATAATAATTATTATATTTCTTTCCTGCCTCTCCTTGTGGCTCGAGGTGGGTTGCAAAATAGCTAAAAACATAATCATGAACATTACCTAAAATACACATTTAAACATATTTCTACTAATACATAATATATTAAAATACACAGGACAAAGATGAAAATACAGCGAACACAAGACATAAGTTTAAAATTCATAATTAAAATGCCTCATACTAGTGAAATTAGCTACCATATTCTTCATGTTTCTGCAAATACGTAATTCACGAAGAGAACTTGACGGTAAGAGCTGATTGACAGTGGAATATTATCCCAGGGAACTTGATGGGATTGCCATATGTTGGATTGGGGGAAGGGGGGCTTTGTGTATTCCTATGTGGCAGAGGGTACCTTTCAATTCTGTGTTTCCATGGTCCTGTCTTGAAACTGGTGAATATGACAGTTACTTCTCTTTTGAAATTTATTTTGCTACATGTATTTGTGGGAGTGGGAATAGGAAGCTGTTACATTTCAGACTATTTGTTGACAAGAAGGTAATTTAAAATCCACATACAGTAGAGTCTCGCTTATTCAACATAAATGGGGGCGGCAGAATGTTGGATAAACAAAAATGTTGGATAATAAGGCGGGATTAAGGAAAAGCCTATTAAATATCAAATTATGTTATGATTTTACAAATTAAGCACCAAAGCATCACGTTTTGCAACAAATCGGCAGAAAAAGCAGTTCAATACACAGTAACGTGTAGTAATTACTGTATCTCAATGTATTGAAACAGCTGTGGATCCGGTTGGGAGGCAGACCACGTTAGATAATACAGAACATTGGATGAGCGAAGGATGGATAAGCAAGACTCTACTTTATATTGAAATGAACAGGGAAAAGACACATAAACTACAGTATTTTTTTTTTTTAAAAAAAGATTATTCAAGGAATGGATTCCTATGCATTATGCAAGTATGATATTTTTAAAAAGTAATGACAAAGTTAACATTTTTACATCGGCAATCAGACAAGGAGCTAGTGATAATATCACGATGAATGAGAGACAGCCTAAGGGTCCCCCAGTGTCAAAGCCATTGGAAATCTGATGCAATCTGGAAGAACTGTGCGAACAACATTTTTCAGTGTTAGGCAAGTCTGTGTCACTTTTTTTAAAGTTGCAAATTCTACTAAGGTCCTTTAAGCTTGTTTTTTTTTTTTTGCTGTTGCTTAGTAACATAATTCAGAAGACATTGGTGAATGATTTTTGAGGCAGCAGAGGGCAGCCAATCTCAGGAAGTAAGAAACAGAGCACGGGTTTTATTGACTGCAGTTTATGTACCTTAATTTATACTTTTACTTAGAGAAATGTCACTGAACAAAAATGAATGCAGCTAACGATTTCACAAATGGCAGACATAAATGCTTAAAAGCACTTACTAGTTTCTGTTCTGAACTGTAGCTATGCTCAATCAAGGTTAATTTCTGCAGCCATGCCAGTGATGTACCTTGAAAGGGTATATTTGAAGTAGGGAAAAAACCCCAACCTACTTGGACTAGAGTACTCAAGATGATCCATTTAGCACAAAATTAGTATCACTGCAAGCAAACAAAAAGATGGCCAATTTCATCTTCTTTTGAGCATCCAGAGTCACCAAGCACTGATCATGTGCAGCAAAACAAACAAACAAAAAATTCTGGACTGAATGCAATCTAAAATACATCTTTCAAAAATGCAGTTTCCCCCAAATATGTGCACGTACATTCCTTTTTGTTGACTGGACACATTCGTTTTCAAAGGTTAGATGTTTTGCTGAAATTTTACTCTTTTCACCTGAGAGAATGTTCTTATTGCTAAATTTTAATTCAGCATTGTGTGGCCAGATCAGTACCTGGCCATGCTTGCTGGTCAGCTCTGAGAAGTATAGTCTAAAATGTACACTTGCCAAAGTCTACTCAAATGGAAACAATATTTGCTTATGTGTCAGTATTGTAAACAAAGCAAGAAATAAGGTATTTTAAACATGTTATCTTCCTAAGAGGGGAGAGGGAGCTATGATAGTGTGATGTCATTTGAAAATTGGACCAGGCTTTTCGGAGACCAGGGTTCAAGTGGACCCCAAGTGGGAGAGTTGCTGGCCTTCCCATGGTTCACATCCTCCCTTCACCCAACCGGTGTGTGTGTGTGTGTGTGTGCGCGCGCGCGTGCACCCACTCTTGCAGTCAGGCTTGCCTTGTAATCCTCTGGTCTTGGGGGAAGAGTTGCTTGGTAGCCATGTGGGCCTCATGGAGCCGCTGTGGTGGCTCCAGCTGCTGCCGGGGCTTGCCTCGCCAAGCCCCCACCCCTCCGTTGGGCCAGGCCTTCTCCTTCCCTCTTTCCTTTCCTCAATCCCTCCCCTCCCCAAAAGAAAACAGACTGCCTTCCTGCATGGAAAGGGACTCCATGGCGAGGCTTCTCTTCCCTCACAATGGTTGGTGCTTCATTCTTCTCGCGCAATGGGGAGAGGGGCCTTTGCGCTTGCTCTGTAAGGCATTTTTCTTTTTGGGGAGTTTAAAGTTATTTCCCCTTCATTTTTTACTTTTTTTTTGTTTGAAAGACAGAGCGGATTAGAACGTGTTTTGCTGCCAAATTTGGTGTCAATTCGTCCAGTGGCTTTTGAGTTCTGTTAATCCCACAAACGAACATTACATTTTTATTTATATAGATAATCATCACACTTGAATATATCAGAACTATATGTGTATCACAGGTCTACTCTGCTTTGCTTGAGCATGACATACTACTTAAAGAGGCCCATCTGTGTAGTCAGTGTTAGTCTGTGCCGGTTTTGTTTGATAAAGGCAGTTCTCTCTGGGAACAGAAATCAGTTTC